GCGCATCAGCTATCACACCGCAATCACCGGAAACCATTAAAAGCATCGAATCGTAAATTGGTTCCTTAGCAGTATTTATAAAATGGCAGGTCCGCCTTTAGTCTTCCAACGGCCGTCAAACGGTGATCGGGTCTTTTTATCAAATTGGCTTGTGTTCAATAAAATTAATATTGTATCTGCAAATATCTCCGGAACCTATAAGACTTTGGAATGCGCAATTCGCATTTTTTTTGGAAAAACGCCGGTATTTTTGTGGTTACGGACGTTTTGTGTTTAGGGGCATTTTTCAAATCTTTTGACCGTTGCCATAACATAATGTCCACTGACTTAAAAATTATATTATTAAAAATTTATTAATGAAAACATCATGCTTAAAGCGGCAATCGATAGAAAATTTCAACAAAAGTAAATTAAAACAGATTTTTCTTTTAAATACAATCTTAATTTGAAAAAATAAATAAAAATGTAACTCATTGTACACCAATTTTACGATGTCCCATGCATACCTTCAAACTTTGAAGTGTCATAGTCCCGAAATATTCTTATCATACTCATACTAAAATCACTTGGTTTGTGGTAAAACAATATGAAATTACGTTTTTTAATGTCTTTTAATTGGTTGTTATATCAAAATCAGTAAATAAATAAAATTTTATTTTGTCCTAAAATTTTGGATATACTGGAATTCCCAGTTAGTAACTACGATTTTCGTCGACTTTAAAATAATATCAAGTATTCAGATATTTTTTGATGTGACTATTATTTTCTGACAGCTTAACTTCTATTGGCCGTTTCTTTTTCCAGCCTAGCTATGTTTGGATAAATAGCGTTACTTAGTCTCCAGAACAGTGTGTCGTCAATCACGTGTTCCAATTAGTATAGTGATTTTGAATGATAGATTATTATTGTTTCAAAACGAGCGTTGCTTAAACTTTTGCAGTAAGTATCTAAAATTAACTAAAGTTCATTACAATCATTACTTTTGGTGTATTTTTTATAAAATGTGTGATGTGAAGTCATAAAATGTACTTTCGTAACGTCAGGTGGGTAACGTTATATATAGCCGGAATGGATTTTGTTACTAACTGGAATTATAAGGTCGAGTACTCAGTAAACTTAAAATAAAAATTAAGTATTTCCTAGAATTACTTTTTGACTACTTGTGCTAAAAATAGGTAAGGTAACTATATAGGTACTTACGAGAAATATTCAAGCTGAAACCTCTTTTTACCGACTTCAAAAAAGAAGGAGGTACTATGTTCGGATGTTTTTTGTGTATGTTCACCGATTTCTCTACCAATAAAATTGTGGATCGATTTTCAAAATTTATTTTTCATGTACTTTCTAACGCAATTCAGATATTTGTCTCTTATAGTCATCATCTTATGGAGCTGAGCTGATGATGAAAGTAAGAGCACCTGAAAGTTTCTATAAAACTATCTTAAAAGTAGTGGTCCGATTTAGATGGGGTTTTCACTGGTCAATTTCTTATGACATTTTATAGATTTGTGCATTCGAAAATAAATTTTGGGTTGCATTGCATTCCGAGTCTTCGACATAACAAACGCAGATAAGCAAGAAATGCATTTTTACAGAGTTGAAAATGGTAGTATTTCTGGACATTGACAAGTTCTTGACTCGCAAAGATTTCAGTCTACTCAAAAGAACTAAGTGGCCATGGAAAAGAACACACTTCATATTAGCAACAAAATGCCATAACTGCAAAACCTATACTGACACGAACCTCGGAATACCGACTCATTTTGTTATTTTTAGTGACAGACAAATAATTCGTCTTTTAAATCGTAAATTCTTCTGGTGCCAAACCTGTTTATTATTTACCATTTATGACCATTTTCTTGACGACGAATGTGAATATTGTTACAAGTAACAAAGCTACTTATATTACCTACCTGAACGAGCTAGGAGATTCAGAGAAAAGCTAAAGAAGGATCCTGAAAAATATAAACAGAAACAAAGAGAAATATTTGGTAAACAAAGAAAAAAAATTGCTAATTTAGATGATGACGGGAAAATTAAGCAAATGGAACAGTGGAGAAGACAGAAAAAAAATCAGAAAGAAAGAAGCATCAATCAATCAAGAAACTATAGCAAAAAACAACACTTAATTTTGAAAGTAGCTCCATAATGTTTTCATATTATGAAACGGATAATGAATGTAAAAATACATCTTTTTTATTTTTAATATACATAATATGAAGATTGTTTACTAAAAATCTTTTGCTTTGCTGAATGGAGTGTAGGTCATTTTCAACAAGTCCGTTATTTTTCAATTTCGGTGGCGCAATATTTTCTTTTATTTTTATCATAATAAGTACTTAAGCAAAATAACAAAATAAAATTGCGCCAACGATATTGAAAAAAACTGGACTAGCAAAAAATTACCCTTGATAGCTGTGATTACTGTGATTTGAATTAAGACCGATTATAAAAAATTTATAAGTAGTTAATAAAAAGTGAGTATTGTGAACTCAACTTTATGATCCTGTTAGTAACTAAGAATTCCAATTAGTAATTTGTTAAAGTGAGACTTAGTTTAGAAAAAGTTATTTTGTTTGATAATTTTATTAGAAGATGATTAATGTTACAACTAAATATTGTTTATTTTAATATGTTATACCCGACTATCTAAGAGATTAAGTGTTATACCTTGTGTCTTTTTCAAAACATAATATTATTTGAGGAGATTATGAAACAAATGTTACTAATCGGAAGTATTTTCATTAATAATTTGTGAAAATATGCTGAAAATTGTTTTTGTTTGCTAATATAATGAATGTAACCGATTTAAATAATAAGAAAATTAAATAAAATAATACAGAATACCCTGGCTTTTATTTAAAAACAAAATATTTAAAGTGTTACTAATTGGAACTTCTTGTGCCCTGAGTGCCCTATACAAATTAATTTTTTGGCTTAACTGCTTGTTCAATTATAAAACAATTGGTATTTTTAAAAAGCTCATTTAATATGCTATCCAAAAAGTGAAAAAAATTACAAAATCATTTCTAAAAAAAAAATGCATTCCGGTTCCGTAACGGTCAGCTTTTTTGAAAAACGCCCTTAGTCGATTTGAGTCCTGAGCCTTCTAGGGAAGGTTAGGATTTAATCCGTATAGACTATCAAGAGATGGCGTTAGTGTGCTTGAGTGATGATTTAGTTTTTTTCAATGAATATTTACATTTGTTTATAATGATACTTTTCGTGCTTAATACGTAATGTTATTAATGGTTTTATAAGCTTTATTTTAGTTTTCAAACAAAATAGTTTGATTTTTAACCAGTACCTGCTCGATTGAAGCTCCGTGTTGTCACAGCGATGCGCTCAACGATGAGTTGGTAGCTGTTTTCATAACAGAATGTTTTTATAATATTTTTTATAACAGAATAGAACTTCTGGCCAATTTAATTACAGAAAATAAGTTTCTTTGATGTGATCTTATCTAAGGAACATTTGAGTGAAGTTACAAGTCTATACTTTTTTTGACTTTTCGTTAAATTCGGTGATTTATAAGAGGTTTAACAGTTTTCATATTTTTCGTAATTAGATTTATAAGTCAGTAATTTCATTAATTTTTGCATTAAATAGTAGCCTTACAAATAATTTATTACGCAATTTGTGACACTATCCGTATTCGCACGGCCCTAAATTAAGCAGAAATGGGTGCTGACACGAATAAGGTGGGTATATATTTTTTAAATTTAGTATTCAGGGTTGATTAATCGATCTTTTTAGGTTTCATAAAAAATACTGAGTGAAGCTTATTACAGTGCAAATATCATCCAGGTACAGTACAGCAAGTCAGGTTGTACGAAACTACCAAATGTAAAAACCTTATTACATTGATTGAAGCATACAAAATCGTGGTAGTCTGATTTGCAGTCGTAGAGAAATATTGACAAATACTTATTTGTGTAGGGTGAACTCTTATAAAATGGGTTGGTTAGATCTAAGTGGAATAAACTTCAGCGGAATCGAGTCCATTCATAAAAATTGCAATAATCGAACATTTAATTTTAGTGGTAGGGTAATTTTAAAGAAGAATGCTTAAAACAATTACCCTGTCCCACGTAACTCGAAATGGGACTGCTGATTTTTTATGAATTTTTCTTAATATCACCGTGAATGCAAAATTTATCAATTAGGTATAGTTCTTGATCGTTCGCCGGTTATAGGGTATGTGTCGTCATATTATAGAAATGCATAGAATATATATATTTTTTAAATACACGTGGTACGTATACTGGTTGTCTCATACATAACATATTTTTATTGCTTTAGTAAAATTATACTCTTGTACTATATGTGTCTTGAGAGTGGTGACCGTAGTGTTTTAAAATTAACACTCTTTCTGGGATAGTGGAGAAGGATAGTGTTCAAATAAATTCACCAGTTCCAGGTGCCCGTCATGCCATTGGGATTGGTGAATTTTTAAGCATTTTTGGTTAAGATATATTGGACAAATATAATAATAACATTCTTTTTACATTTTTTTTATTACTTCTTGATAATTCCTTGTTTTCTTAGTAATGTCTCGATAATAGCTATATTGAAACTCAATTTATTCAGTCTAAGCTGTTACAAGTACCTGCAAATGTAGAAATACTATGCCATCGGTTCGAAAATTTACATCAATCATCAATCTAATTTTATGTTGGATATTATAAAATTACATAAAATCTACATATTGTGGGTGTTCTCAGTTTCTCTGAAATCTATATTTACTATATTTATTATAATAATTGTCATTATGATTTGCCTTTATACGATAGGTTGATAAGTTGTTTTTGGTACAGCGATTGACAGAAAGAATTGTGCACTATTTTTCTTGGTCTTAAAATTTGGTTTCGATTTAATACTCGGAACCAAATTCGGAATCAAATGCATACCATGGCAAATATTGTATTTTTAAATTCTGTCAATAATAATATATTAGCTATAAATATTTATTACAATGATGTAATTTGTGTTTCCCGCAGCCGCCCCCGCTGCCTGGCGTGAGGCCTCCGCTTGGGTCACCTGGGGGCCCCGTAGCGGCCCCTAAGTCCTCTATGGGGTTCGTCATGCCGATCTACACTATATGCATCATTATCTTCTTCGTTTACACATTGAGCAAGGTAAGGCTTTTTTTAACAATCTTTTAATTAGCTACTTCAAATTGATAAATCAAATTCGCACGATGAAATTTAATTATTTGCTGGTACGATCGTAAGATTTGGTCTAGATTCAATATTTAAATATTAATAAATAAAACTTTGATATTATTTTTTGTTATCATTTACGAAACAAAGTAAAATCTAAAAATAATTCTTAATTTAATTTATGAGATGTGTAATAGTTTCTATATCAAAATGATTTTTTCAGTCTAATGTATCTTGTTACAAACACTTGTGAAAGATTAATCTCTATATCATCGGTTCGTAAATCTATTCATTGTATCAGAGTGTGTCATGTCAACAGCTTTCTGTCTTTGTGTAGATTATGTGCTGATTATGATTATTAATCTTGTTTATTGTGATTGGGCAGATCCTGTTCAAACGCACAGGCGCCCCGGTTTACGACCCTATCGTTCCTGACCCACAGTTCAGGAGGAGAGTATTCCGTGACGACTCTAGGACTTCGCCCGATAAGTTGGGTAAGTCTTGACAAATTTTGCCACATGAAATTCATAACCATCAATCAATAATTAGGGTAATCTATTAGGGCGTTTATGGAATTCTTAAAACTATCAACCTTTTTGTCTGAATCGAATCTAGAATCTTGAATCAAATCTAGAGCGTGGGGTGTTCTGCATTTATCTTTTTGATTCAATTGTTTTAAATTTTAACAAACGAAAAGAGGAGAATCTCTAATTGAATGCTTTTTTTTATAATTATTAATATTATTGTAAAAGTGTTCCAAGAATTCACAATGGTCACGTAAATTTTGATAAGACGGGCTTCAAAACCCTCTATTAGTTAACTAATTAACACGCGAACATTGTGCTGCCATATAATGTAATGTAGCTTGTGTTATTAACCGATAATTCAGTTTCATATTGGCGGAAGATTTTTTTTTAAATCGACTCATTAGTCTTTGAGTTTGTCCAGTAAAAAATAAAACAAGAAATCTAACGTATTGCCTTTATAATATTAGCGTAGAAAAACGATTATAATGATTCTGATTAATGAAAGCGACTCTTGCGCATGCAGGACCAAAGGAGCGGGACGCAAGTAAGTACTTGATTAGGTCATACTACATAAACAGGAAAGGGTTGATAAATGCCAGTTTTGTATTAAAAAAAGTAATCTTTGCTTGAATCTCAACCTTATTTCATTAATATAGAGTTGGAAATAAAATGCAAGAATATCTTAATTAAGCAGACTATCTAAATATTATTCCGTATGGTTATTATTATTAAGGTTGATATCAAAATATCTTTCAACAAGTTTATTAGTTAAAGATTTGGTGTTTGCTTACTACAATGAAAATTCAACTCAAAATAGTCTTTTGGGCAAATACTTAATAAGATCAAGGAGACTTCATATAAAATGTAGACTTATTGTTAAAATGTACAAATTTCATAAATATTGTTTAAAGTTAAGGTAGAGTATCACAGTTAAGATATTTTTCAACTACAATAGGTGGCGTTGGTGTTTTGATGACTTTATATAAAAAAGCAACAAGTTTCGTGCAAACAACAATGTGTAAAACAATCGGTGTTTAAAAAAATTCAAAACTAAATCCATAGTTTAAAGCTAATATGGAGAACATAATTTAAAATATATGAACATTTTCGTTGATACAAAACATAAGAGGTTGAATCTATAGAAACATGAACCATAGATAATGAAATCTGACGGATATATAAAAAAAAAACTGCGATATCAGTGTCTCTACGCGATATCAGATTCTATATAGCTTTTAAAATTTTTAAAAATACAAGTCAGGATTAATATTTTTTAAGAACAACAATGACGGATGTATCAAAGCGGAAGTTCCAGTTTCCGTAGATTCCCCCATTAGCAAACTAGCTTCATCTATTTGGGCTGACAATTAACGGCACCGTGATGTTTTGCCTTATTTTGTGGTATCGAGCCCCAAAATAGTAAACAGATTCTATTTTTTTCTCAGCTATGTGATTGTCTTTTGAGACAGATAGATATAAGCCTATAGACAGAGATGAAGGATGTATAGAGAATCCTAGTATTTCTAACGTAACAGGTTATTTTACGATATTAACACATGAGTTGAGGAACTTTTAATATATGGTATAAATTTTTTCAATTTAATTTTGGCCACCATCTGCAAATAAGTAAAATATGGCCTAAGATATGCATATATGTAATTAGAAACTGGGAAAGCGTCGTTGATTCTTTTAAGATTACTTCTTTATCGGATATAAAAGGGTAGTCCTTAATAGCTATAAGCTTAGTGGGTGTTAAAAATGAGTGTGTGAATAGGGGACGAAGAGTTGGAGGCGTTACGTGCTCGGCTCGCGGAAACCGAACGCGCCATGCAAAGGATCGTCGGCCAGCTTGCGAAACGCGACGCGGTACTAGTACTGGTTGTACTCACGGCTTGATCTCTCTTTACCTTTCTTTACAGTAGGTATAAGCAGAAGCATTGTCAGAAATTATGATGTTGCTCCTCGTAAAGATGTAACATAAAACATAACAAAAACTTTGTTTTGCGATGATAGGATCATACTTGGCTTTATGCTGTAATCTCTAGACCAAGAGCTTAATTTGTTAATGACATTACCTACGACCTACGACCATTATCGATGATTTTATTCCCTCCTACTTATTAAATCGTATTGCAATTACTTCGTTCGCTATTAATAAAATTGATTGCTAAATATACTGATTGGGATAACTTTGGTTTTATTTGCTTGACAAGATTAAAGTCATGACAAATCTATTGTTAATAAGCCTGGAGCCAGTGAATTTGCGAAATAGTTCATGCGGCATAAAAATAACTGCTATAATAGAAAGTCACTATCGTAAGGTCCTTAAGTTATTAGTCAGGCATTAAAATTTTTTACGTATAATTTTGCCACAAAGCATGAATTTTTGTGACAGTTTGGATTTAGGTTTTGTTTTTTCTTTTCTTCTAATTTGATCCTGGCCGGGAGTTGCAAAAGATTGTATTTTTCGGGGAATTATAGTAATTATTTAGGATAATGTTATACTCATTTCAGTCTGCCAAGATAAGCTCAACTTTGACGAAATGAAATACATGTTTGAAAATATTATACAGTGTTGTCGTATTTACCTTCACTGACTGGACTAAGAACACTACGTAGATTAAAATGAATAGAGTGGCACACAATTGCAAAGATGTTTTATATTAATTCTATCCCTAATATATAATATCGCACCAGATGAATCATTTAAACCTTTCTTCAAATCATTGAATGACAATATATTCACCCATGTCTGTTTATTTTGGAAATGAGTATATTTGTAAAACAAAACAACCACCTACGGAATTTGAAGAGACTTGTCCTAAATACAGTTCCTAAAATCACGTATTATGCGTTCGTTCTCGTATTATAATAACGGTTATGCGTTGGCTATCATTATATTTAATAATGTACCTTAAGAAATAAAGTAGTTATCTTTCAGTAGATTTAAGATTGTTTTAAGAACCAGGCTGATTGAACAAAGATTTTACTCAATTCAAGACTTGTTTAGGTATAAAGATGGACTATTTTTTTTAACAAAAAGGTAAAATCTTTGATTTATTTTATTTCGGTGACACATCAGTTTCTTATTTAAATGTGTATTTTATTTTAATTGTGTGTCTATTATAATGTAGTCCAAATGACAAAAAAATTACGCTATAAATAATGTAGCGATAAGCTTATTGAATTGAAATATTATCCGCGAAATTGTATCACCCTATTTAAAGCAAATAAACAATTCGAATTTGAATGTACTAAGGTTTCAAATCAAGTGGAGAATTTTGACAGTCTTGTATAAACCGACGTGCTGTGACTGCTCGTTATGTTACTTTGAAGCAAATGCCGATTTTTTACTGTGTTAATAACCCTGTTTAAGTCCGTTTATACAAAAGCTTAGTGATTCCTAAATTTTTAGCCACGCTTCGTCATGAACGGGCCGGCTCGACCGGAGTGATACCACGGCCTCACAGAAAACCGACGTGAAGCAACGCTTGCGTTGTGTTTCGTCGTGTGAGTGAGGGTACCGGAGACCCAACCCCTCCCTACTCCCTTCCCTCTACCCCTCAACCCTTCCCTCCAAGGCCGGCAGCGCACTTGTAGCCCCTCTGGTGTTGCAGGTGTCAATGGGCGACGGTAATCACTAACCATCAGGTAATCCGTCTGCTCGTCTGCCCCCTATGCCATAAAAAAAAAATATCACGCGTAATACGTACAGTTGTAATCTTAGAATCGTTTATTAATCATTCATATCAGTAACAACTGCGGAGATACTCAAAACCATAGAGAAAAGTCACAAAAAAGATAATTTCACATGAAAATTATTTTAAATTATGTCACATGTCGTAGTAAAATAATTGTTTAGTCATTTTTAATTACTGGTACATTTTGAAAGAGTTTAATTAATGCTGCTTTCTTTGATTTTGAATTTAAAATATATACTAGAGAGGTAAAGAGAGATTATCACAATTTTGTACCCAGTTTTATTATTCCTAATGTACGAATATCGTATTTGCGTGCTTAGTTATTCTCATAGATGCTTGTGGCATGGTGAAGGAAAACCCTTAAACTAAGTTCAGACGGGAGGGTTCACTGATAGTTAACATTGCTATATTATCGCATTCAGAAATACAAGGTAACTATTATTGCAAGCATTCTGCAAGCGATGATGTGATTAAACATTGCCCATATTCTCTCATTATATAAAAAATAAAACTATTTGAGATATTTTACAAAGGAAATTATTCTAGACGTGGATTAAGTCCTTTACTTTTGATATTTGATCAATTGCGTCAAGCATTAGACCGTTTCGCAATGTCTATAAAAGTCTGCTTAATTTTTTTCATTGTTCGAGATGTTTTATATTATTTTTTGTATAGTTTGCCTTAGGCAAATAGAATTTGGTTAACGACCAAATCACAAAATATTACGCTTTCAATTCTCAAGTAACGAACTATGTTAGTTTTTAAAAACAAGGTATATTATGAATAACGGGTGATTCCGCCATGTAGAAATCTAAAAAATGAAAATATTCAACTGTACTTTCCAAATTAGACAAACAGCTCCAAATTAGTTGACTTCATGACTCATTGCTGATTATTGTAATATGTCATGAATCCACCCGTCTCTACTATGTTTTAATTTTTATACGCACGTGATCGACGCATCTGGCGATTGTGGGCCCTGTGTCACATAGATTTAATTATGTTTTGTGTTTGCACCCCTTTTAGAGTGGGTTTTGGTGTTTGTTTTATATAACGGTTTCGTATCTAGTGCTATGTTTTAGAAGTTAATCTGAAAAGCCTATTCTACTCTCAGTATTTTATTTGTAATCCTCATCCTTGTGTTTTTATTTCATAATTTCCTCTTAAAATATTTTATATACCTATATATTATGAAATAGTAGTGATACATAAAATAATTGCTTTTTTTCCCAGGACAATAACTTGTATTTTAACGATTTATATTTTACGAAGTATGAAAAAGTTTAACAAAGCTCATATTCTGAAATTTGGTTAATATGATGACCTTCATAGTGGAGATTTCAAATGATTTAAACGCTGTACTTTATGCATAATCGCTGATCTAGTAACTATCTACTTCAATTATATATGTCTCAAGACAGTGATAGAAAACGTGCTTTTCTGCAACTTTTCAAGATTGTTTTATTTTATTTGCAGTAAGTTATTATATTATAATACTTATGGTTCATTTTCAAAGGGACCTAGTAGTTTAGGTTGAATAGGTTACCCATGTGATAATAGATTTTAAAGCCAAACGTTTTGGCTGCTCTCCAGGGTCACCCAATCGTCTGATGCATCCGGCTATTTTGGTCGAGATCTTCGTCGTTTGTTTTGATGATTTCTATTTTTAAATTGCGTTTTTTTTTCTTTGTCTATTTATATACCTAAATTAAATAAATCCTTTTTGAAATTCGAAAAGGAAAAATGGAACGGTCTCTTTTATTAGGAAATATGATAGTTATATAGTATTCTGTCATCATCACTGATGATGTAAAGGGAGGTATACGAGGGTCAAACTGAAAGTTCTTAGAACTGGCCACTTATAAACAATATAATAAAAAAATAATTCTAAAATTTGAAAATATAACTCTTTGCCAATATTACTGAGTATATATTTCATTCATTTGTCATTTGTTTTACGATTTGGCGGCAAATTGAAAATTGTCTGTGTCACGTCATCATGAATTTAACACGAGAAAATTTTCGTGCAATGATTTTTTATGACTTTCGATGTCATTTAAGTCAACAAGAAAGTTATGATAGACTACGATTGGCCTTTCACGATGAAGCCCCATCTCGTGCGACTGTTTACAACTGGTTTAATGAGTTTAAACGTGGTCGCACTAATCTCACTGATGATTTACGTGAGGGACGGCCTTCTACGGCGACGACTGAAGATAACATCTGTGTTGTGCGGCGTATGATAGAGACTGACAAAAGAGTGACCTATCAACAGATTCGGACAAGCTTAGGCATCGGTATGAGTCAAGTGCACAAAATCCTCCACGAACATTTAGCGGTCAGGAAGCTTTGCGCCCGGTGGATACCTCATAATTTGACTGAGGCTCAAAAACTCCATCGTGTGGATTGGTGTCGTAAAATGATTGAAAGATTTAACGGAGGTGACTCAAATGCTGTGTTCGACATACTAACAGGTGACGAAAGCTGGATTTACTGTTATGATCCTAAAACCAAAAGACAATCTGCTCAGTGGGTGTTTCCTTTCGAGGAGTTGCCAACTAAAGTGAAGAGAGATCGAAGTGTGGGAAAAAAAATGGTGGCCTCGTTCTTTGGAAGGATAGGTCATTTTGCAACAATTGTGTTAGAGGATCAAAAAACAGTTTCTGCAGAATGGTACACTACCAATTGTTTGCCACTTGTCTTGGAAAAAGTTCGAGAGAAACGACCTCGCAGTAGGATCCTCCTTCACCACAACAACGCCTCGTCGCACACCGCCAAGCGAACGATCGACTATTTGGCGACATCAAACGTTGAATTACTGGGTCACCCGCCGTATAGCCCCGACCTCGCGCCTTGTGATTTTTATTTATTTCCAAAAATTAAAGAAAAACTTAAAGGAAAGCGGTTTATGAATGCTGAAGAAGCGGTGGCTGCGTATCGCGATGCCATTGAAGAGACCCCTAAGGACGAGTGGGCAAAGTGCTTTTCCCAGTGGTTCCATCGCATGCAGCGGTGTATTGACGTGAATGGACAATATTTTGAAAAGATATAATAAAACTAATAACTGGCTAATGTAATCAGTTTTTGATTTTCTAAGAACTTTCAGTTTGACCCTCGTAATACCTTTTTGGAGTTAAAGCAGTGTTTGTACAATCGAAATGGTTTCAGTTAGTCTGGGAACAATTAACCAGACTAAATTATGATTTAACGAAGATGTTTAATAGTAAATATTGTCGGGCAGTTGTTACGGCCATATCGGGCCTGGTAGCAGAGGTGCAGCAACAAATGGAGGCGAGCTACGCGCAAAACCAGCAACGACAGGTCACTGCATGGCTTCAACCCTCATGTTTCCATCACTATTTAAATTATAACTGATTTTTTAGTACAGTTCTCACAAATATATGCTTTTTTCATTATATTCTAGGTACTATAATTTATTGATTGATAAAGAAGTCTTTTTAAAAGCGAAAATGATGTTCATTTCACACTCATGTTAAGGATCACCATTTATTTCTGAATATAAATAGCTGATATTGAAATACGGATACGTATTCTTGATTTCAGTTTTCAGATACTATCTCTGTTTTCGTTCTGGACGCCAAGTCTAACTTAGTCGCAAATGTATTGCTTTGAATTTATAGGGTACTTAAAAAGAGCTATCTAGTGGCAGGCGCCCCGTACTATTATAATTTCATATTAAAATCGTTAATCGAAATCTGTTTGATCAGCTCATATGACATTGTATCACTATATAAGGCGATAATTGGATTCTTACCCGATATTCAGGAGATTATTTATCTGGTTTTGGTTTGGCTTTGGTTTGGCTGATTGTTACCCATTAATAAAAAAAAAATACTGTGAGAACTGTAATTAAGCATTTGCCTACATCATAGTTTCTTTTTCATTCCGTTCTTTGTTTATTCTTTCCGTTCATTCCATTCTTAGTTCGTGTGAAAAGGATGATGATAATTGTCGTTTGAAAAGTGTAACGTTGTTACTAATTATTTTGATATAGAATGACTAATTTTGTTTTTACATTTTATGGCAAAAAAATTAAATGGCATAAAAAGTGTACTTTAATAATTATATATATTTCGTACATACATTAAAACACTATTCGTTTTCAAAATAATTAGGCCATTTAATAACTCAACAAAGGAATTTTCTTTTATTTTCTGTCATCTTACCTTTAAGGGTAATTAGTGTGATCTAATCTCGAGACTTCGAAAATGTTTTTAATTTTTAATTTTAAATGTTTCTCTTACAAATTCAATCTTTCTATTTCCATTTAAGAAATACTTAAATAATTATTACTTTGATCCACCATCAACCTCACGTATCTCTTTTCATAGATTTTATTTTTTGTTGCGTTATCATTTTTCTTTGCAAGGTAAGACGAAGCATGAGGATTTGTCGTTGGTTGTCTGTACCTAAGTTACCACGCCTCACTAACTAATTCTGAACATAACAAATATAATATTTTACATTGTTTTTATAAATGTTTAAATAATAATTCCTAAATAATATTCAAACTATAATCGTTCGCTTTTTCTTGCTATGTTTTAGTCAAGTTTTTTTAGTAGTCATATTTAACAATAAGTATGTGTAATAAGCTTTTAAACGGGTACTGAAGTAAAAGTTGAAAAATAAATAAAGTTAAAAAATACCACTGTTTTTGAGCATTGCACGCCTACCGTTCAACTACAATGGATTCTATTTTACTGGCATTGGATTCAATCGAAATTCTCTCTCTCACTCACTTCAACGTGCAATGGTGAACTGTATAGTCTATATCTTTAATGCATCAGGTTGAATCAAATACACTTAGCGTTATGGTATTGAACATTTGTGTTAAGTGTATTTTAATTCAATCCGATGTTTAGTGAATACACCCTAAAGAGACCTACTGTGTAAACACCACCAACAGGAGTGTTTAAAAAGCAACTAAAGCACATTCAAATTACAGTAATTTATTCCGGCTGGTTATGAGACCGCGAGACGGCAAGTAAAACGAATTGTAATTGGTTTTAGCGCTGGGTTTTTCAAACAGTGGAGTGGACACTCATCACCTTCTTATAATTACATATTCCAATATCTCAGTCAATTGACACTTCAGAACCCAGATGTTTTGTTGGTTTATTGAATGAGTAGTTTGTGTTGAAGTAGAATTAAAATTATTAGTCTGGTGTATTATTTTTAGATAATACATTGTTTTATTTGCAATAATTTGTTTGTATAATTTTAAATCGTTATTTTTAATAGTTAGCTATACTCTTAGCTTGTATGTGTAATGCTGCTGTTTGTGTGGCAAGTATAGATAGTTAACAAATATGAAATTGGAAGTTTAATCTGGATTTTTTGCAGTTGCAGCTGAATAAAATTATAACAATTTCTATAAAGAAATTATTATAATTTTATTCAGTCGCCATGCTAGTAACAAAATAGTCTAAATGTAGACTACCTTGCTTAATAATAATTTATTGTATATTTCAGGATCTGCAGGATAATCATGCTCGTCCGTATACCAATGGAACTGTCCTTCATAACACAGGCCCTGTGCAAATTGTAGCAAGCGAATATAGGGAGAAATCAAAAGAGAAAAGCCCAGAACCACCTAAAGAGCCTTCAGCAGAATTGAAGGAGGCTGAGTCACAAGAGTCTATCTCAGAGCCTGAACTGTGCACTTCGGAGGTACATGAAGACATCTCAGATCAAACAGAATTAATAACAGAACCAAAGGAATCAACCCCTGAACCAAAGGAATCAACCCCTGAACCAAAGGAATCCACTCCAGAACCAAAAGTACCCACTCCGAAACCACTGGAGCCAGAACCAAATCACCCCAACCCAGAATCAAAAGAAGCTCAATTAGATGAATCTGTCCCAGAATCTGAACCCAGAGAAAATGCTCAAGAATCAAAAGAATTCCCTCACGAACTTGAAGAATTAAACGTAAACTCAAGAGACTTATTACTAGAGCTCGAAGAAGATGACCACAGTGATAGGATGATTTTAGAACACAATGAATTAAAAACAAAAGAACCCGTAGAGTTTAATCATAAAAATGCAAATATAGATCTTATCAAGTTAACAGAGAACATAGAATCTATAAAGGACACAGTAACGAAATCAGTAGAGGATTTCTTAGACGATGCAAAGACAGATGCTAATAGTCAAGAACATAAACAATCTACGCCAGAGCTTCTAGAAGAAGCTCTTAAAGAAGGTTCTTCAGAAAAAGAGACAGAGAATGAGGAAGAAGAGGAAAAAGCAGCTGTAAAGGTGAGTTTAGTTATTTATCTCCTCGTTTTATTAGTGAATCGGGAGTATAGTTTTAGTGAATGAGAATTTGGTATTGGTAACAAGTGTTGATTTTTAATTTCATTAATGTGTTTTATGTTTTTGCTAATTATTTGTTAAATTTACCATCAAAATTTGAAATTTTAAATATTCATTGACCCTATATGCAAGAAATAGGTTTAAAGGAGATCCTTATAAGTCAAGTGTTGGTTATATTTCTCACGCCCGTTTTCACTAACCGAGAACAAGGCATAGCATAAGCGATTTTGCATGCTTCAGTTCGTCTTCTTTTTTTAATGTATGGTCTATCTGCGTTTACACAAATTCGTCAGTTTCACATTAGGGGCCTTTATACGTAAAGAGACAACATTAAAAATTGAAATTTTTAGGTAATAAACCAAGAAAAATAATACGTCGTCCTGTATCTACACGAGCACCTAAGTCGTCTATGTGCATATATAAAAATTCCATTTTCTTACTTTAGGCGTTGCCCAAAGTCGTTAGGAGTCTTCTTGTCATTGTTGAAACGCATTTTCACCTTTGACAATGCTCAAATATTTAGGTGCCAGATTGGGGTGACTCCTAAGTTTAGTGAAAACGGGTATGAGTGAAACAATATTTTAATTAATACAGTGTCAGCAAACCAACGTAGCTAGGTAACATATAATTAGAAACTGTAAATCTGTTTGCTCGTTAGACATATTATCTCCGAACACGGTACAATACAACAATGGTACTTTTAGGGCGTAACAAAAATATCAGTCGGTAGGCGTAAGCCATAACGAATCTTATGCTGTAGGTGGTAGGGATGGAGTTGACGGCGCACACGGCCGACGGTGGCGAGTGGCGGCCGCCGCTCCCCGCCCCCGCGCCCGCCCCCGCCCCGCGACCGGTGAGGCCATACGCGACCGTGCATATCACACAAATACTCTACGATTCCGACAGTAGCGACGATCCTTAACAATTAAAACTTCATAATAATTCTTCTATATTCACATTTAATATTACGTGCAATTATTAATTCGTTAACTGATATTTTGTTGAAAAAATAGTACCTGTTCAATTGCATTTTGCATGGTAATGTTTAAAAAGATTATGAAAACATTGTTCTAATTGGTATCCATGTAAGAATGAGTGTACCTATGAGAATGGTGTTTGCTAATAGAATGGCATGATTTAAAATTTCTGTCAACTGATGCTAGTCTTTTAATTTGGTAATATTATATTTTGTTGTCATTGGTCGATAGAGTTCGGGTGATATCGGTGATATACGTCACAGATTAATTGGTCGGTCATTTATCTACCAATGAGACGATCTTATGGAGATCGCCGGCACTCTATCGACCACTGAAGGAACCATTAGGTCATATTTATTAGGCATTTGGGTATTAATCGTAGTTATCATTGCTCAAACTTAAATAATATATTTGGTCCTCACTTCTCAAAATAATATTTTATGTAGTAGTATTGTAGTTAGAATGAAATATAAATTTTACATTTATTAAAATAAAAAGACATCGGATATCTATTGTGGAATTAAATTAGCGTACTGTTAATACGTTCTCCCTTTTTATTTAAAATAAATATTTGATAGCACTATATAAATTGTTAAAATTCAAAATTAAGTAATTGAAGCACTTGGATTACGGAAATTACATTCCACAAAATGCACCTCACACTTATTATTAAATAAGTTTATTCTAGTTTTGTTATTTTTTTGGTCGATTACGAAATTATATTCCCAAAAATAAATGACATCTTACCTAGCCAGATAACTAGACTAAATAGATATTGGCTAAGAGTTCGAACAATAACCGCTTATTACCATCATGTGGAGGTTGAATGTTAACGTTTGTTTACCTGGCAAATAACAAATAAACAAAGCTAGTTGAGCAGCAAATTCTAATACCTTTTAAATTGGATAGAAATTAATTGAGTCTGTAAATGTAAAGCTCTCTTGCCGTTATGCGAATCCAAGTAAATTATAAAGTTAAATTATAATTTCGTTAAAACAGATTTCATTCATAAATAGTGTGTTTGGTACGAAATGAAACTGCTGTCAAAGCCACACTACATTTTTCCTTCTTAATTGTTATTTTTCAAATAAACTGTTTTTATAGTCAATTGAAGCAGTTTTATTTAGTACTAACATGTCCGCTTTTACTAAACCATTAATAAAACCTGAAACAGAATCCCAGCACGACATAAATTATTTATAATGAGAAGAAAATTAAGTATATAACCAATAACTATTTCCAACTAATTCTTCCGTATGTAGTTCTATATTTCACATTCATACTGCATTTTGTAAGTGTTTGTTAGCAATGAAATGCAAAGATTCAATCGAAAAAGAGTACTCAACTCTTCATAAATTGAAATCAAATTATGAATTCACAGTATCAATTTCAAAGTTAGTGTTAAAAAATGCAAGAAATAAAAAAAGCTACGCTTCTGACTAAACTCATATTTTTAAGTATGTATAAAGCAAACGACGTCTTTTTGTATTGCATAAAAATTTGCTACAGGCCCCGTTCTGGCTTAATTCGTAAGTAAATATAAATAATTTAAAAAGTAGCATTGCAATTGTTGTCTTTACTATTCATTATAGTACTAATAGGTATACAAGTTTAATTGTTAAACACCAGTAGGCTAATTCTGCTAATGTTTATGTAATAATCGGATTTCAAAAAAATATTTACTACTTGTAATTTGCCCTCATACTATATTAGTGCTATGTCTTCTTCACAATTCATTGATGATAGATATATAAAATAATTTTTAAACTTAAACGTGTTTACAAGATAAGCCTAATTTCGGAACCGAAAAGTCTGAAAATTTTTTTTTTTTTTAAATACACTCAGTAAATCCGTATAAAGCAAAATTTATTTACCGCTCAATAATATCTCTTCGCGCAACCCCAACCAATGCTATGTTCTAACAATTTTCCTAATTGAATTTAGAGTTGCGTTTCAAAATTACCTTGTTAAAACATTTTAAACTTTTTCTTTTCTAGTTTATTCTTATTAAAACCACTCACTCATTAGTTAATCTCGTGTTCTTTGTGTCATCATAACCTAGCTATATATTACAATTGAAATGTTTTTTATTCATATTGTTTTATGAAAATTAATTTTATATATAGGTAAATGGAATTGAACCCATCCATCATTATAATAATAAAAAGGGCCTGCTACTTAGTGGGGATAAGATTGTAAGGCCAGGCGTTTTAAAAATAATCCCATCTCATTTCGAGTGAGACTGGTGAATAATTTATGTATTTTTTTATAAAATAAATTCGGTTTATAAATTTTTCAGTAAGTTATGGAAATATTCTTTTGTTTGACGGAAATAATTTGTATTGTTGAATGGTTAATACTATCACACAGTCAAGAGCACGTTCAATCAATTTTGTTCTACAATATCTAGTATAGTACGCAGAGTCACAGGTGTAAAACTAGTATCTCTCATTAATTAATATCGTACATGCAATTATTTAGAAAAAAACGACTTCATAATAGAAACGATGTCTGGGAAAAAGAATCTGCTTAGATATTTATTAGAATAATAGAAAAATAAAAGATACGTATTTTTTGCTTCAAAAGTATTATACTATAACTATTAATATTATACTATAACTATTATTAATAGTCATTAAAGTTGACTACGTCATAACTATGTAGAAAATGTACAAAGATGTCACTTCATGCTAGTGATGCGACTCGAATAGGATTTTGTGACTCGAGTCATTCGAGTAATTTAACTATCTCACTCGAATCGTACTAACTTGCAACTCGAGTTGCAAGTTTGCAATTCGAGTGAGATCTCTTTTAGAAACATTTAAACAAATACCTATATTAATTGACTTATTGTAACGGATGGAGTAATAATTGAAATAAAATACACATTATAAGAGTTTTTACATATTATTTATTTAAGTAATCAACAAACTGAAAAAATGTCTTCCTAAGAAGTAAGAATAATGAAATTTCCATGAATGAATTATTGATAATATGAATCACATTTTATGCAATTTTAATTACAAGTTATTTAGTTTTCTTTTTATAATTTTTTTGAACAATTATATTGTAATAAGTAGTAGTAAAGTGTAGTAGTAAACTGACATCTAGCTAATGGCATGGCGGCAATCGAGTGCATAGAGACTCGAGTAATATTTTTTTTCAATCGAGTATGAGTTTGACAATTTCACTCGAGTGACTCGAGTAAAAACAAGGCTCAAGTTGCATCACTACTTCATGCGACATTTCTACTCAACGTGTCGCCGCAATTTAATAATTAGGTCATTATACAAAAACACGTCTCTTATATTCTTTAATAATCTATAAAAAAATAAGTAAAAAAAATGTCATCATCCCTATTCAGTTACAGTCAGTATGAAATTGTAATTTAAATTCACATACTGGATGTTGATAACTTCACCCTAGTCATTACATCAAATGGCTAAACGTTTGATGATGTGGTGTATCTAATGTTAACAGTGGTCTAATGAATGATAACATTTTTGTGTCATGATCGTCATGATGTAAACTATTTAAACAAAAATCTTGATTCTATAAGAAGTCTGTAAAGTATGATTTTTTTCTGATATTATCATGAAGATACTATATTACTTATTCTTACTTACTCTTGACTTTTGGACTTGGTAGATAATCTTGAATTGTTTATTTAACTTAAATAAAGCATTTTTTGATAGATTAAGGTCAAAAGTCGATTACACAAATTTGCTATATTTTCAGACCTTATTTACTAAAACACATTTTGTTCTATGTCAGGTTACGCCTATGTAACGTCAAATTAGATATCTGGTACCATCTATTGAAATTAAGAAATAAGGAAATGTAACGTCCTACTATAACTCTATTCATTACAGTTCATATTATATTTACCCTATTTTTAAACTGTAACGCTTTAATCTGTAAATGTAATTTCAGCACGTCGCGGAAGAAGTCAAAGCGATATACCTCGAGGGTGAGATTCCGCAACAGTCACGTGTGCTCGTAACAGAGTTTGAAGATAGTGCCCAAGACAAGCCCCCCACGAAAAAACACTCGCCGGTAATTTTAAAGCTTATATGTATGCAACAAGATGCATTTTTGTCGGTTTGTTAATATATGTTGAAAAGGTAGGAGGGAATGTTATGCTTAGACGTGATTTATTGCAGACGGTGGTTAGCGGCAAAATGACGCTATCTCTAATACAAGACGCACCCAAGGACACACCCGAAAGAGATCTAGGTAGGAGTTATACTTATTTGATTATTGCTAATTCGTAACATTTAAAAAAAAATTTTGTATCAAATGGTTGGTTTACCGTGGATAAGGTGGTATAGAAAGGATTATATGAAAAAGGCGGATGAGTGTAAAGGAAGGAAGAATAAAGTGTTAAGAGGGGGAAGAGTAAATGGGAATATTAGGGATTAGATGCATTCGCGTTTTAATGGATTGTTGTATCTTACAGAGTCTACTGTGGACGATTTCACAACGGCGAGTGCTATCACGCAGCCGGCTGAAGAGGTAACAATAACATTCCACTTTAAAAATATTTTAAACTTTAATGGCTCGAAATAAGTTCCTAATTTCATTGACACTGTTTAAATGATAGGTATTACGTTTATCTTTAGCATTTTCATGGTTCTACTATATTGAAACATATATTTTTCCGATTTGGTTCAATGTCATAAATTGATCCTTATCTCCTGACATAATTCGATGTGAGCCCAATGCGGATGGGTGGGAGTTAATGACAGCCAATGCAATCGGAACCAAATGGTTTAACATGCCTTTTGATAATAGATTTGTGGTTACCCATCCAAAAACTAGCCTTCGTGAAGCTATTTAGTTCCTAAAATATATTACTATAAATTGATGTTTTATATAGAAGGAAGAAGAATCGGAAGACGAAGTGGAAGAGGAAATAGAAGTGGAAGAGATCGAAGAAGAAGTCGAAGAGGAAGAAGAAGAAGAAGAACCATTGAAGCAAGAAGCTGTTCCGCAAGTACCAAGCAAAGAACAGGAGGCCGGCGAGGAGAAATGAACTGATAGGTATATACTCTAAGGTTGCGTTACTACGCTAGGGTTATTGAACGGATTTAAATTACCTTATAAAGTATATTTTTAATTTTAAATATATTTGTTCACTCAACAGCATATCGTGTTACCACAAAAAGCTCCGAACCTTCAATTAATAAATTTGTGGCAGTTTTGCGTAACTTGACGTGCTGTCGACTGTCCAACGAGTGATTTTATACGTCTTATAACGGTAGATGTATAATTTTTTTTTCAATACGTCTTTTATAAATATGTTTAAATGTAATACTAATTCGTAGTAATGTATTAAGAGATCAAGTGGCGTGGCGTTTGTGGAATTGATTGATATAATTTCGCTCTTATGGTAATAACTAAAACGATTATTATTTAAATTTTAATTATAAACAGCAAAAACTCAGGAAATAACTGTGTTGACATGCACAAATAGCTGTACATGTACAAATATATCAAATTTTTGAATTTGAACTCTATCCGCAATGTTTTAGGGTTCTCAAGAAAAGATATTTGAATTTTATGTAACCTTATGTGCTGTTGTAAGATACAAAATAATTACTTGTGACGTCAGAAGGTTACCATTAGTGTCGCACGTGAGTAAGGACAGGAATCGTGCCAAATCCAACCCCAGTATCTATGTTTAAAAAGGAACATATAATAGTAAATTGATGACTCTTTTAATTTGAGTCTATCTTTCTAAAAATGCTTAAAGTTGCGTTTAAATGGTTACATTGAAAGAAATTATGTTTTAAATCCCTTGCTTACAAAACATAAAAAATGAGTGATAATTAACTATGGATACTGGTTCGAGATTTTATGGAACGCGTCACAGAAAGTTGATCTCTAGTGTCCAAGAGAGAACTATTAGATTGTAACTTTGTATTGAGGCTACTTCTAACGAATGTCAAAACGCTTTGCTTTTCTTTGTCGTAAGATTTTTTTTTTTAATATTATTTGTGTGCAATGTATAAACTTTTAAACAGAGTTATTTTTTATATGAATGTGTCATTATACCTATTATTGTAAGTATGTATGTACATTGTACAGTCAACAGCACGTCAGATTATACAAATCTATCAAGTTTTTTGATACTTGGATTGAGACTTTAATGCGTTGATTTTAGAATTGAAAATCAATTGTGGTAACCTGTCGTGCTGCGGTGTGTACAGAAATTTTTATGTTATTGTTTAAACGTAATAATAAAGATTTCAATCAGTCTGGTTTGTGTGCCAAAATTATTTCCAATCGCTATTTATAATAATTGAAATAAGTTATTTATTATTACTCATTACTCAGTAATATACTCATTTTATTAAACTATTATTAACGTAAGGGAAAAAAGGAAGTAGAAAAATTTTGCAATTTACTTTTCAATTAATGTGAGAATTCTCTTTAAAAAAAATTATACTCGTTTGGAAAGTTTTTATTTGTCTTCTGTTAAACCATAAGTCTGTGAATAAGCCAAAACTTTTTATTAAATAGAAAGCAGATGTCCCAATATTGTAATATTTTACATTTATGATATTTTGGGCATAATATTTATAAGTAGGATATATGAATTTGCACTTGTTGAGATTGAGGTAGACGTAAAAGTGCATTTAATATTAAGTGCAATTTAAAAATGATTTTTTATTTTATTATTTATTTAATTTTTCGTTAAAATGATTCTTTTAAAATAATTTGATAAATATTATCACGTCACAGTATACCATTTGTTTTCCCGAGACTACGCCCGCGTATATTATAGCCTATGTCATCCGCATATGATTTTAGATTAAATAATTTTTAATATCGGCCCAGAAGTATCGGAGCTTATTTAATGTAAACAAGCAATCAAATCTTTCCATTTTATCATGATAAGTTGCATTTACTTATGCAACCAAAGCATAGCAATTTTTGCGTTGTAATAAGATTCTATATTTTTTTTATACTGAGCATTTTCTGTTGCATATAAAACTATATTTGACCTTTTAATGTACAACAATGATACTGTGACGTGATGTCGTTACGAATATAGTATAGTGAAATATGAATAACTGTATTACTTATAATGAGAATTGGAAATAACCCAGCATTTCTACACATTTAAGACCTCTAGTATCTGAGACCGTAGAAATAATGTAAATGTTGAATGAATGTTACGTTTAACAACGTTACTTTGTATATTTTTATAAAAATATAGTTTCAAATCGTTCAGGTTTAAGTTTTATCTTACAATTTAGATGTTAAAGAAATTTGAAAAGATAATTTAAAATTCTTTCGAAAAGTTACGCGAAATTACGGTTTCTAATATTAGATGGTAATCCCAAATCTAGCTTGAACATTCCTCTTCTCATTTTTGACTGCGTGAGTACACAATATTTGGTTACCCTACACCTACACAGTCTTGAGTCTTCTAGCATTAACGTAATAATGGCATCTTATCACGTTTAAAATAGAGTTCAATTTTGCTGCTGTTTCAAGTCCAATATTATTGCAATGGCGTGTTCCTTTATGGCAACAACACGGCCGTGTCTAGACTCCTCGTTTTTCTCATACCGTGAGCAATAAGACCTATCTCAAAAACGTATTTCAATGTCATTTTATGTTAACGTTAGTAGAAACAAGGTTCTGATATAGAGTTTGTTTTTATGGAGTGTGCAGTAAAATTGTTAACGTTTATTTCAAGTTTCTGCTTCATTATAGTATGTAATTAAGATAACTACTCAAATATTGTTGATAGTAGCAAAAGTTAACATTTAACCGTAGCATTTTTGTTGGTTGTTTATTATATTGTTTTGTAGTTGTAAGAATAAACGTGAAATAAAACAAGTTTATTTATTATTTTCACTCCTTTCAGTATGTGACTAAATAATTATTTTGGAAGACAATGGCATGATAAGCAGTGGCGTGCGGCACTTTTTACGAGGCGGCAAAATTTCACAGTAAACAATATAATATATATTTTTGAAATGTTTACACCAATTCATATTTTTAACGCAACTATAAATTTGGAGTGAATGAAAAGAGCACGGAATTTTTCATTACTTATTCTGTGACCAAAGAGTACTGGAGAATATTCTTTATTTAAATGATATTTTGTAAATGGCAAAACCATCTATACCGATTTACGGAGATCCCCTGTATTTTATTTTGTGTTTATAATCAGTAAGAATTACTACTTACTATTACATATATATTTAGTTCAATATTGTTTATTATATCCCTATAAGAAAGTGCGTGATGCTTTGACAATTCAAAGAAAGTTTTATTCATGGATCTTTAGATTACCTCATTTTTTTTTTTCAAATCTTTTTTGGTTTTAAAAGACAAGCTCGATATTAGGATAAAGTCCTGTGTTGCGAGGGACTAAGTACACACAGACTTAGAATAATAATTTCGACGATACGAAGACATTACGCACGCACATTGCTACTCGTCGTATCACCGCGATAATATCGCCGTGTGGAGACGCGTTCATAAAGAGTATATAGAAATACGTGGCACGACGATAATATCGCTGCGATTCTCTCGCTCGTGGACAGGGGTCGGAAACCGGTATATTTTTCGAAACGTTTTCATCTTAAATACCTAAAAAACACTTTGTTTCGGTTTCGTTCGAACAGAACGATATAAAAAACGATTTTGGAAAAAAAACAGAATTATATTGTTTTCGGTTAATAAAACGTTTTTAACCATTTATTTTGCGTTTTTTTTGCATCGCATACTGTAAATAACGTAATAAAATAAAAGTACGCCGCCCTTACAGCCCGCGTGGCACCGTCTTGCGGATTAAACCGGTTTTTTAAAGCGTTCTCATTTCGTTTCGAACGCAATCTTGCCCAAAGAACCATAAGAAACGTTTTAAAAACGTTATTTTGAATAACGTTTCCGAGCCCTGCTCGTGGAGACAGTGGCCTATATTAAGTTTGTAGATCTGAACATTCTATTCGTAAGGAATATCATGAGATCTTGCTTGTTTACGTAAGGTGATCTCTGACCTTTTTACTTTCTATTATTTAATTAATTTTGCATTCACAATCCTATACTGGAAAACATTCATAATGAAAAATGCTTAAAAAATCCATTGTCCCTGGTGCTTTGAGAATATGGGATTCGAACCCAAGACCTTTCGCAGTTCAGGCGACTGCTCTAACCATTGAGCTACCCAAGCCCTAAAAGGGCTGACGAATTTTTCAAGCACTTGTTACTTTATCGCTACTACAGCCTATTTTTCATCAATGTTCAGGCAATCCTTTTTCTTTTAAAGTACAGTACATTCTCTTTAGTATAGTATATTGTGATTTTATGTCCCAACTTCCCATGACTCCGTACGAGGGGGCCTTGTAAGAGAAAAATTATACACGACCAATCTCTCTGCTTCTAGTCTTAAGACTAGAAGATGCTTTAAGTATACTTTCTTTCATATAAAAGTTGTGTTTCAAAATCATTCTTTTCTACTGATCTAAGTAGGCCTGGATCTACATCTTTTTCTAACCAGAGCCGAAAATTGATAAGCTCATAATTTTTTTTCTCATATTAAGATAATTTTGGTGCTTGGGGTGACGTCTCTCACTTGCCCCCCCTCACCCCTTAGAACTGGCCCTGGATCTTTGTCTAAAAATTAGACTATTTTTAAGTCAATCAACTTTTGTGTGAATAAATATACAAGAGTTGAACTAATAATTATGTAGTGTCTAAGATTAATGCCATTTTAGAACTAGATGGACCGATTCATTTCAAAACCCATAAGGGTGGTTTCAAAACCCATAAGAGAGACAAATATGTTTTAATCTACATTCTTACATCATATACCTGTGCAATGTTTCATTTGAAGTTAGCATCGATCGGTAGCGTAGGGGATAAGCGCGACGGCCCGCCATCTTCGGAAGGCCGTTGTCGTGGCTGCATTTGCAGTCGTTAATATCCTACAATCCAAATTCGGCCAGCGTGGACGGCTATGGCCCATCTTCCTTAACCATCTACAAGGAAGGCCTGAACCCCTGCAGTGCGGACGTAAAAGGGCTGATGATGACAATAAAGTAAAAAAAAAATACAAATATAAGTCAAAAATGTTTCACTATTTATTTTTATATTCCACTGTAACACTTAAAAGTTTAATTACATATTATTTACATTAAGCAAGCTCTTGACTAAGCAGTTTACTTGGATCCTGAAAAAGAAGGAATTTTGATCAGTTTAAATATTTATCAATGATAAAGGAAAATTACAGAAAGTTTTAACTATTTGCTAGTTTGCAAGCCGTAGAAGTAAAGGGAGTGTCTTAGCTTTAAAATTGATTATTTTTGGTATTATGCGAATATTAGAATGATTGCTAAAAACCAGATTGCTACCTTAAACCTTATATTATATGAGTAACTGATGTTTATGTGGGTGGTGTTATTTGCAGATATATTGGTCTACTTTTTTTCGAGTTCTTTTATTTTTAATGCCCTTACCACTGTTAGTTATGTTGCCAATAACTTGTACCTGTTCTCATACACAGCACTCAATGTATCTGATTGCAAAAAATCACTTTTTGATTTATCTTCTTGTTTTGAGAAATATGTACCATTACATTCTATACACTAAACAATTTAAACCCATCCACAAAATTAAAATTTTTGTGCTGTTATTCAATCACTTCCATGACCATTTTTGGTATGTAGTGGCATTCAGTGAAATAATGTGTAGCTTATGGAGCTCCCTTTGGTTATGCCCGAATCAATCAAATGTTCTGCGATGACTGATTTCTGTGTGCAGCAAGCTATTGTTTGTTTAATTTGGCCAACATATAAACTGCAGTCCACAACTGCAGTCAATCTTATAAACACCAGGTTTCTCCAAAAAGGGGATGATATCTTGAGGAGAATGTAAATATTGTGGCACTTTTCATAAATCTAGGTAATATCAGGAACTCATAAAATATAATGTACATTGTAGCAATGCCATTTTTACCAATCATTCTGATATTAATGACCATGAAAGTTTAAAATAACATATATTAATCATGATTAAGATATTTATATTGTGATATAAATGGAAAATCTATTGTGATTTTGAGAAGGAACAAAATCTGTTTATAATGTATTAGGATTAAAAATTTAAAAATAGTAAATAAATTGATCATACAGTAGTACATATATTAAGTAGTAATAATACATATTTATAATATTTTAATGTAGGTTATATGTTTATATACAGATATGGGAAAATTTAATAGTCTTACCTGTGGTCCAATTCTTTAGTTCTTCAATATCCTCTACTAAGGTCCAATCGTGTGTAACAGATTTAATTGTTTTTGTGGCTTGAGGAATTTCAGGAACAAATCTCCATCCTTCATCAATGCCAGTTTTTTTAATAATGGCTGCTGCACCAAGAATTATACCAGCGGGGACTCCTATAGTAATAGACCTTTGCCAAGCGCCAAAGACTGAACCGGCGGCGAGACCACCAAGGAAATAATTAATTTTATCGTTTTTTCCTCTAATGTTTTGGGCAACGTTAGTGGTGACGGTAAACGCAGTAGCCATTCCTACCAAAGGGCCAATATACCACATAATCCTGCCAGTAGTATTTAATATACCCTGTGGATGTGAATACATAAGAACATCGAATGAAGCAGCTCCGAGACCTGCTAGGGCAGCGTATTTGGAGGTGACAAATACTTTTTTGAAGATATCTTGACCTTCTGGAGTGTCATAATATTTATAAGTTAGCATTTTTGTGTATTGTTTTAGGAAAAATTAAGAAAAATTGTTACACAACACCACTGCCTACTCGTACTCGTTGACGTTTTGATGTATGTTTACAAAGACAGATAAATTTACTAGTAGAAATATTGATACAGCTGTAGATGAATTTAGTGGTTATTACTTCAAAATACAGGTTAATTTAATAAATATATGAAAGCAAAAGAATAAAATTATATGTGTAAATTAAAAATTGTGTTTACAGTGAAACAATCTTTGTAAATGAATAATTATTAATTATTGACAAAAGTAGAGTCGTTCAGAAAATTAAAATCTATTTAATTTTTGAAATGAACAACGGTAGATCATCGCCATTCATTACATTTTCATTTTACATGTAGAAATTAATTTATTCACTTGACATTAGCAGAATCGTGTGATATGTGCAAATAAGCCATTAATAAATAAAAGTAAAGAAGAAATGAACAACAATTTAAATTAAGAACGTCGTATATTGAGGGTGCTGATCCGGCTCTATGGACCAAACTGTAGACGATGTTGTATAACCGTGGATGATGGTGAAAACAAAGACGGATTTCTTCTATAGACGATTTATTGTATTTTCTTCTTACTGGCTACTTATTACTGCTTGACTATACTGCTTGACTGACTTGACTTGACTACAAATATTTACAAATTTGGCCCTACCCTTATTCTACACTTAACATCTAACTTAGCTACTAGTGACGCGCGGCGGCCGACCAATCACAGCGCGTTTTGCGCCCGCGCGCCGGGTGGGGGAATCGCCCCCACCGTGCGGACGGCGCATACGCAGCCAATGGGCTCCCTGAGAATTCCGCAAATGTAGGCGCTGTGATTGGTCGTTCGATCTGTACATTTTTCGGCACGTGGCTGTCGTCAACAGTCTCCCCCCGGCGAAGGATCTCCGCAGCCTCCTCCGGTTGGCAGCCCCGTGCCCGTCGCGCAGCGCGTCCTCTCTCATCGTTCCGTGGAGAGTGCAGGTTCGACGACGATCAGCTTCGATGTCGGCCGCCGAAATGTTCCTCCTCTTGTCGTTATCTCCACGTTCCGAATCACGCCGTCAGGTCCAGGGTAGGTATTGGCTACGATGCCGCGTGGCCACGTGTTTCGAGGCAGAGCGTGGTCGGCTATGATAACCACGTCTCCGGTCCGTACTTCGCTGCTTCGTGGACGTTGTGGGTCGCGGCGTGGTACGAGGGTCGGTAGGTACTCTCGTAGCCAGCGTTTCCAGAAGGCGTCGGCTAGTGCTTGCGTCGCCCTCCAAGTCCTGCGGTCGCCCTCTTCACATGGCCCGGTGTATGGAAGGCCGGTCGATGACCCCAACAGCAAGTGGTTTGGGGTTAGCGCCTCCGGATCGCTTGGGTCTACGGAGACATGCGTCAGTGGTCGCGAATTGACAGCATGTTCCGCCTCGGCCAGTAGAGTGTGCAGGACTTCCTCTTTCGGTGCTCGTTCGGTTAATGTGGCGTTGAGCGCGGTTTTCACGGAGCGAACCATGCGTTCCCAGGCTCCGCCTTGGTTAGGTGCTCCCGGCGCGATGAATTTCCATGTGGCATCGTAGTTCATCGCCTCTCTCTTCAGCTCGGGAAGCCACTCGGTGTACGCCTTCTTGAGCTCGGTGTCAGCCCCTCGGAAGTTAGTGCCGTTGTCACTATATATTACGGCGGGCCATCCTCGTCGTGCTGCCATTCTTCGCAGCGCCATGATTGCGGAGTCAGTGGTGAGTGATGCCACCAGCTCCAGGTGCACGGCGCGTATCGTCAGACAGGTGAATAACGCCACCCATCTTTTCTCTCTTCGTCTTCCAATTTTGATGGTGACTGGCCCGAAATAATCTATCCCACAATGACTAAAGGGACGTCTGAAGGGCTGTAAACGTTCTGCGGGCAGATCCCCCGTCGGCGGGCTCCTTGGCTGCGATCTTCGTAGTCGACACATAAGGCAGCCTGCTGCGACTTTCTTAACTGTTGGTCGCAGCCGCAGGATCCAGTACTGCTGCCTGACGTCGTTGACCACTCGCTCGTTGTTGCAGTGTCCCGCTCGTCTGTGCTCTCGATCAATGATTTTCTTCGCGAGTTCGTGGCGTCCGTCCAATAATACCGGCTTCTTTGCTGTTTCCGGTACGTCCGCCTTGTTAATGCGTCCGTTTAGTTTCACAAGCCCGTCCTCCCAAGTGAGGTCGTAACGGTGCAGAGGGCTCGTTCGTGCTACGGGGACTCCTTTCTTCAGGCACTCGATTTCTTGGCTGAAGGAGTCTTGTTGCGCCTGCTGCAGCCATAAATTTGTCGCTCGGTTGAAATGTTCGCGGCTGAGTGTCTTCGTTCTGTCGCGACATCTTTCCACGAAGAGTAGCGCTTGCGCTGTTGCGCCGATCAGTCGCTCGAACGTCGAGAATCGTTCTATCTCCGGTAACGCCGCGTTTCTCTCTGTTGTGTGCGCGATGACGTGTGTTATTTCCGTCGTTTCGTCATCTTCGCGATCCGTTGGTTGCTTCGGCCATTCCGATCTTGGTAATTTCAAGAAGGATGGTCCCGTGAACCACAGGTCGTTTTCGTTGGCTGGCGTATAACCGGCGCGTGTGGCGACGTCGGCTACGTTCAGATGCGTCGGTATCCATCGCCAGTCTTGCGGTCTGGATAACTCGGTTATTTCTCCCAGACGGTGTGCGACGAATGGAGTGTAGCGCTTGCTTCCATTCCGCAGCCAATGAAGCACCGTCTGAGAGTCGCTCCAGTACACGGTGTCGTCGACGTTGACACGGTGTTCTTCTTTGATTACTTTCGCTAGTCGCGTTCCGATGAGGGCCGCTTGAAGTTCCAGGCGCGGTACGGTTTGGGTCTTCAAGGGCGCGACCTTAGCTCTAGCCGCTATCAGAACTGTCTCGATGACATGGCCGGGTCCGTAGTGCAACCTCCAATACGCCGCCGTAGCGTAGGCTTCTTCGCTGGCGTCGCAGAATACATGAAGCTCACGGCGACGCACTTCTCTCCCCCCGTTGTAACTACGGGGTAGCCGTAGTTGGTCGATTGCTGGCAGGCTTGTCAACCATGCATCGAAGTCCTCGCTCAAGTCGGATGGTAGAGGGTCGTCCCAGCCGGTCTTGAGGCGCCATAGTTTTTGAAGAGTTATCTTCGCTGTGATTGTGAAGCAGCTGAGCAGTCCGAGCGGATCGTATATGCTCATCACCGTCGATAATGCTTCTCTTTTCGTCGGCGGGCGTTGTCGAGACTTCACTGGCGGTGGGACTCTAGGCAGGGCGGTATTGAAGCCCAGCCGATCGGTACTCGCATCCCAAAGCAGGCCCAATGTCTTCTCTGTGTCTCCAAACGTCGTCGTCCCGCTTTTGGCTCTACTATCCGGGCTCACGGCTTGTAGAAGCTTCCTGTTGTTACTGTTCCACCCCCTCAGGTGGAATCCAGCCTTCTGGTGCACTGCGTCGACTTGGGTGATGACTTCGTGGGCCTCTCTCGGATCATTGAAGCTGTCGACGAAGTCATCCATGTAGTGCGCTTCGGTGATTGCGCGCAGTGCTGCAGGGTGCGTCTCAGCATGCTGTCTCGCGTTGTGGTCCCTCACGCTGTGTGCGAGGAACGGTGAGCTCGATGCGCCGAAGATCATCGATGTCATCTTCAGCTTGCGCGGTGGTTCATTCTGCCTGCAGTCGCGCCACAGGAACATCTGTGCGGGTTGGTCCTCGCGGCGTATCTTGATTCGCAGGAACATTTCCTCGATGTCAGCTGTCACCGCGTATGCGCCCTCTCGGAACCGGAATAGAATGGTCTGCAGCGATCGTAGCAGATCCGGCCCTTCGAGTAGGTGATCGTTCAGGCTGACACCTCGAATTCTTGCTGCCGCGTCGAAAACCAGTCGCAGCTTCCCGGGCTTATTGGGATTCTTGACGGCGAAATGCGGCAGGTACCATGCGACGGGGCTTGCGTCCTCGGAGCCGTCGCAGGGTTCGGCGTATCCCTTTTTCACGAGGTTGTCGATCCTCCGCTGGTATTCTTCCATGTCGCGTGGATCTTTTCTCAACTTGTTCTCCAGATTCGTGAGCCGGCGGAGTGCTGAGTCGTAACTCCGTGGCAGTTTGGCGTCGTCGTTTCGCCAAGGCAGGCCCACTTCGTATCTGCCGTCCTTGTGCTTCACGGTGCGTTCGAACGTGGAGACGGCACGCTTGTCCTCTTCGCGGACGTGTGATGCGTCTAGCGACACTCCGAGTGAGTCGATCCGGAAGTGTCTCGACACGAGTTCTTCTAGTCGGTCGTCTGATGCTTCGGTCGTGACGACATGTAGGATATCCTCGGTGCGGCGAAGCGATCTCGATGGCGCCGTCCCGTGGATTACCCATCCGAGTTCGGTTTTGGAGGCAGCTGGTTCCTTGGTTTTTCCTGACCGTAGTTCGCGGGTCACTATGAGCTCCCAGTTGTCCGTCCCGATCAAAATGCGAGGCTTCGCATTCTTGTATACGACTTCTCGCTCGTCGAGATCTCTAAGGTGTCGTAGCTTCATCGCCTCCGCCGGTATCGATTGCGGCGTGAGGTCCAGGCCCACCATGGTGCGAGCGTTGATTTTGAAGATCTGGTCACTGCGCGTTCCCTTTATTCCAATCTTCACTCGACGGCTCTGCACGTGACTTTGCTTCTTATTTATTCCTCGGACGTTGAGCTGTGCGGTCGGTCCGTCGGCGCCGATCTGTCGCGCCAGGTCGTCGTCTAATAAGGTGACCGTCGAGCCTTCGTCGAAGAGCGCGTAGGTGTCGCAGCTCCCACGTTTGCCCGTGATTGTCACGGGGCAAATCTTCAATTTGACGGCGCGGCTTGTCGTCGTGGCAGCCGTCGTCGTTTCGGTGGTGGCTGGTTCCATCGCGGCCGCGTTTGAGTCGGTCGCGCTCGTAGCCACGTCGTTCGTCGTTCCACGCTCATCTGCGTGCAACAGTCGGTGATGCGGTCGCTTGCATCCGTTGATTCCGCAGAGCTTCTGTCGGCAGTTCAATCGACGGTGTCGGCCCACGATGCATTTGAAGCAAAGGCCCTCCTTCTTCACCAGCTCCCATCGGTCATCATACGTTAGCTGCTTGAACTTTGGGCAGCTAGGTAGTGTGTGGGCTTCCTGGCATGAAAGGCATCTGCGCTGCGGTGCTTCTTCGGTGGCGACGTACACCGTCTTCTTCTTAGCCTCCGGTCTGGGGGCGGGGCGAGGCGTTTCTCGTGTTCGTTGCGATGTGGAGGGTGCGGTGAGGTTCGATACATAGTTGTATCGCATGCAGCGGTCAGCTTCCTTCATCAGGAACGATGAAAGTTTGAGTAGATCGGCGTTCGGGCCCGGCTGTGACTCGGCGAAGTTGCACCAACTCGATACAAGGTAGCTCGGCATCTTGTCCAAGACTTCCCGGGTCAGCAGTGGGTTAAGCAGGTACTCTGGCTGCACGTTCCTCAGGACGGCCACGATGTTCTGTAGCTTTACCGCAAACATGTTAAGATCGTTCGCGGTAGGTCCAATCTTCGGCAGCTTCCGTAGATCGGCGAAAGCCATGTCCACTAGTCTTTCTGGCCTTCCGTAGCATTGCTCCAGTGTTCGCATGATCTCGTCGGGGTGCGTCGCGGTGCTCAACAATGATGCGACGTTTTCCCGCGCTTCTCCACGTAGGCAGTTTCTTAGTCTTGCCATATTCTCTGTAGGTGTGAATTCGTACAGCCGCGTTGTTTCTCGCATCGCAGTCGCGAACTGTAGCCATTCCAGCGGTGAACCAGAGAATATCGGTAGATCCGATGCTTGACGCGGCGGCGGTCGTGACTTCACGAGGGTTTCGAGGACAGAGGCGAGTTGATCGATGCCTCTGCCTCGCGATGACGACCGTCTTCGTTCTTCCCTATCTGGGCGTCGCGTGTCGCGTTCAGGTGGCGGTTCAGCCACGGCGGTTCTTGAGAGCTCCCCCCGTTGTTGGTCGACGTTCGCGTCGTCGAGCCACTCGAACACTCGATCTTGTAATTTATTTGCCGGTTCTTCAGCTTCGGGTTCGCTCTCTGCTCCGTCTAGCGTTTCTAACTCGATATTGAGCGTCTTTTTTATGAGGTCCGCTTCAATTTCGAGTTCTCGGCGTCTTATGGCAGCCAGTCGTTCTTCTGCTTCGATGCGTAGCTTCCGGCGTGCCGCGTTGCTCGCTGCCGAGCGGGTCGAACGCGCGACGTGCACTCTCCTCGCCGGTTGCACCGATGACGTCATCGCAGATGTCGTTATTCCAGTAGTTGCCGCTGTGTCCGTTGGGTGTGCTGCGCGTTCGTCCGCTCCGCTCGGCGGCTGCGTAGTCACTGCCAAGGCGACGCGTGCTCCGGCAACGTCTGCCCCAGCGCGGTTCGCACTTGCGGTGCGGTGCGTAGGCTCTCCCCGGCGTTACCCGTCTCGAGGCGTCCTCGTACGGTCGGTGTACTTGAGGGCGATCTCGGCGGCTGGTCGAAGACACGACGTTGGTTTTCTTCGTCTTGGCTTCTTGTAAGCACCATCTTGAATTGCTGTTGCTGGATCTCGAAGGTTCTATACGTGTTTAGATCCGGCTTCTCGAAGGACCAAAACTATTGAGGGTGCTGATCCGGCTCTATGGACCAAACTGTAGACGATGTTGTATAACCGTGGATGATGGTGAAAACAAAGACGGATTTCTTCTATAGACGATTTATTGTATTTTCTTCTTACTGGCTACTTATTACTGCTTGACTATACTGCTTGACTGACTTGACTTGACTACAAATATTTACAAATTTGGCCCTACCCTTATTCTACACTTAACATCTAACTTAGCTACTAGTGACGCGCGGCGGCCGACCAATCACAGCGCGTTTTGCGCCCGCGCGCCGGGTGGGGGAATCGCCCCCACCGTGCGGACGGCGCATACGCAGCCAATGGGCTCCCTGAGAATTCCGCAAATGTAGGCGCTGTGATTGGTCGTTCGATCTGTACATTTTTCGGCACGTGGCTGTCGTCAACATCGTACTTTAAACTTCTTGATCTTAATATTTATCAACATTGAATTTTGTTTTACTTATCTATATTATCTTCCAGAATTTTTTTGTTTCTATGCTAATATTTCTCTGTTTTATTACTGTTTCTGTATACATCTATTATTACATTTTGGAACGTAAGTGGTGTGGCGACATTTTTGCACAGCAGCCGTCATTTCTTCCGTCATAATGTCAAAAGTATCAAAAATGGCGGCGGATGGTGACGAAGTGATTAGTGATCAGGAAAAAGTTAGAATTGTATCAGATTTCATTCTACATTCTCCGCCTGGTGAATTTAATGAGGTTTTCAACGATGTAAGAGTCCTCCTGAACAACGACAGTCTTCTCAAGGAGGGGGCGAGTGGAGCGTTCGCACAGTACAACAAGGACCAGCTCACGCCCGTGCGCCTTGAAGGATCCGAACTACATACTTTAATAACTGACCACAATGAGCTTGGAGGTGGTAGATTCTTCGATCCTCGCTCCAAAAGATCCTTCAAGTATGACCACTTACGTAAGGAAGCTTCTGAGTATGAACCGTATGAGCCCGATAAGGTCGCGGAGCCCTGGCGGGCGGCACTCGATGAAGAACTTACAACGTACGTGGCCGCTCATTATAAACATGTTGCCAGTTTAGTTGTTGGTCGTGCTTTAGAATCTGGTGCTGTTTCACTTATTGCGTGTATTGAAGACCACCAGTTTCAGCCTAAGAATTATTGGAATGGAAGGTGGCGCTCTGTATGGACGCTGACAGTTGGTGCTGGCCCTGCTGAGTTGCGTGGCATGCTGCGTGTACAGGTACATTATTATGAAGATGGCAACGTTCAGCTGGTGAGCTCTAAAGAAGTACGTTTACCATTAGTTGCGACAGGAGAGGCTGCAACAGCCAAAGAATTTGTCAGGCTAGTATGTGATGCAGAGAATGCCTACCAAACAGCAATTTCTGATAATTATAAGACTATGAGTGACACAACATTCAAGGCGCTTAGACGGCAGCTGCCAGTCACTCGTAGTAAGATTGACTGGGCACGCCTTGTTTCTTACACAATTGGAAAGGAGCTTAAAAGCCAATGATGTCCTGCCGCTGCGCTCTGAGCCGCAGCGGCTGCTCCACGCCTCTGTACATACTTGCATAAGAGTAAATCATGTTCAAATGTTTATGGGCACTGGGGCTTTCTACTCCAATGTGCGTACTATCTATGAATTATATAGAAGAATCGCTATCATAATGTTAAATTTTATTGCATTTTGTTACTCTCAGTATGAAACAATTATTAAATGGTGGCGATTGCTGATTCGATTGGACAGTTTCATCTCTTTATGAGAAGAGATGGTGTTTTTTGATTTTGTCCATTTCTGTTGGTAGCATTGCAGTTCTAAAGTAATGTTGTACTTAGGTGTGGACCTGCTTTAGAGCAGTATATATGTTTTCTAGATAATCCCTATGACTGAAACGTCAAATTGGTATTACAGTTTTATTTATTTGCTTTCTGAATGAGGTTGGTTAAGTAAGCAATACAATGAAAACCTTTTTGTTCTTATATTTTTATGTTTGTAATATGTCAATTACAGATTAATTACCTTTGTTTTGATATGATTCTAGCTATGTTTGTTAATTTAGTATCAAGGTAAAGTACACAGTCCATCCAAATTGATATTCTTGTATAATCAGTATTATTTGAATTAAAACAATATTGCTTGCCTAACTGTGTGTTATATGAGAATTTAACAGTAAAGGAATAGGGGAAGATTCCCAATGGTGCATTTAAAATGTAGTTAATTTAAATAAATTGTCCACATAGCTTTAATGCAGCATGTATGAGCAAAGAGCACAATATTTTCCATTATACAGAATATGTTTCATGTTTTGCTCAAAGAAATATGTAACATGTAACTCAAAGAAAAAAAGGAAGAATTATAAAAGGTTATTACCATATAATATGGTTCTTGAGAGTTAGAATGAATGCATAACTTTTTTTATATAATATGTAATAATTATAACGCCAATAATGATTATTTTGTAATTATTATAATTATTTTTAATAAAAAAAACATACATTATAAATACAAGTATTCTGTAATGTATGATTGAATTAATTTGAATAAAAATATATATTAAAATGTTGCTAACTACTGTTTTCTTATCATTTAACTTCTGAGGGTTTCATGAAACAGGAAAAGGATATAGATAAGAATACAGTTTCCTTTGCCACATACATACATAGGTTTAGAATATTTAACTCAATGTCCATGCTGTGATAAAGTATTTATGAGCATGTGTATGAGTCATCGTAGGGTGACGACTTTGTATTGAGCTACCTGCCCAGCCCATCCTATCTTGTAATACAATGAGCCTAATAATCTATAATTTTGCATTGACTTATCAAGGAGTTATCTTTTATATATAGACTTGGAATGCTTGTCAACAACATAACACTGACTTACACAGGAGTGGTCTGATAGGCATTTGCTTAGCATCCAGTGTGCGAATTTTGTGAGTTCAATAAAACATTACACTGCAACCAGTGGCGCAACACTGAAAATTACTGAAAATCATTAATATAAAGAAGAAATATTTAATAGTTCGTTTGTTTACGTTAATCCGCTACGAAACTACAGTCCCATTAAAAAAAAAACACCTACTGGCAACAACTTATGCGGGCGACATGGGCTATAATAGTACAAGAATGTTTAATTATTTATAGGTATATCATAATGTATCCTAGAAAATTAAATACAGGTACACTTATGTGTAAACCTGATATTTTGCTATTACGATAGGTGCTTACGTAAATAACAGCAGACGTGGGAGACGAAGTGTTTAAATTCTCTTTGGATTTTATATAAAATCAACAAAAATCGGGAAAATACTTAATTAATTATATCTTAAGCTTTTAAAGCATCTAAAATTAATTTGTCATTATTAATTTTGGATATTTGAAGTCAATATCAGTTCTTTCTTAATATTAAGAGTAGTTATCAATGTGTTTAGAGAGTTGTAAAGAAAAGCTTGTGTAGATATTTATCGGTTAATTTTAACGAATCTCAGAGGACGTTTCTTTGCTAGCGTCATGCATGGCTATCTCGAATACAACATTCCTATATGACAGTATTCATTAATATGCGGTCGGTCGTTTAATTTTAGCGTAGATTCTGTTTTCGTCTATTCATTCGTATATTACGTAAGCAGCGCTTACCACACATTTGGTCAATATAAATATAAACTATATAATACCTTTTAACCATTTAATGGTGAGGTTCTTATTGTAACCTTAAGTGACCCAGTTTTTCAAAGATGATTCTTGAAATATTGAAGATAAAACTGTCACAATAATTTATTTAATATTAAATACGTATAATAAGTTAGCACTAGGTATCAATTAAAATTATATATAAATCATCATCTAAGAGATGATATTATTCAACTATTTACTTCTTCATAGCCGACTTCTTCGAGAGAAAATGCACTTTTTATATTGTTTCGAGTCTGGGTGTTGTGGTCTATTTCTTCGATGCTGTCTTAACCCAATCGTTTAAGCCATTTAATTTGGGGGTCTGAAGATGTAAGTAATATTAAATTATTTGCAACGGTAATATGATTTACTTCCTGCATACCTATATATAAAAATTTAATAAATTTCAGTAACACTAAACATCTTAAAAACAAAAATCCTATCGTTAAAATTGTAAAAAAATGATTCACAAAAATAGTAGAAAATATGTTTTATTTACAATATTCACAGCCTTAATATAAATCAATAGTGGCAGTTACAATCAATGATAGTTATCTAAATGGCAATAAGAAACTGTAATCCTTATAAATAAAAATAATTAAAAGTTTAAAAGAGAATAAGTAGCGTAAATATGTGTCTTAATTATTCTTGAAATATGCTATTCAGTCTACTTATAGATATTCTTTTTTTAATCCTTGTCTAAAAACTTTTAAGCTACTGATATATTAATTGGCAACAATTTAGAGATTGGCGTTTGGCTAATTAAAAATTAAGTGAACCTTTCAGTCAATTTATTTATTAACCTTATTTTTGATGCAAAATATTAATCTCATCATCTGATCGATGTTTAACTATTACAGTTACTATAAGTACGTATAAAATAGCCTACCTATAAATGCATCATAAATACTTATAAGAGAACGTATATAAAAAAAAAATCAAATACTTATGTAATGGCTAATAGTTATTTCAACAGAAGAAAATAAGCCTGATAAGTCGCTTTTTGAGTTTTAACTAAATATGTTGGTATTACAGTGATTGATTTTTATTGACAAAATTCACGGTTAAAATACCTCATTTGCTAAACATTTCTTTATAATAATTATTCAGAGTTGAAAAACGATAGAACAAGAAGAACCCAATAGAATTTCTTTTTATTAGGTTCCTCTTGTTTTATCACGCACAATGAACGCACAAATTTTCACAAAATATCTCATGTTTCGGACATGTAGAAAGAACAATGGATGTAAGAATGACAAAACTGTAGAAGCCGAAGGTCAAGACACATCTTTCACGGTCAAATCAATCCTTTACTATGGGAGAAGAATATTAGAAACAATAAAAATTAGCGAGCACGTACGGGAACAGTACTGAGAGTTGAGGGAAATACGTAACTAAGTTATATGTGTTGGGACCGTGCCTTATGAGTTGTGGCGCTCGGTCCGCTTCCTTTTCCGTATGGTATGTATAATATTTCTTAACGAGTCTCACACTCGTATCAATAGTCAAGAGAGGTGATTACTTGAGAAAATGACATATTTTATTTACCGAATTGTGGCACATCTGATTAATAATCTTTGTCGTACACTCTGTGCGACGTAATCTGTGTCGTTTCCTGGTGGTGGGAAAGTCCTAAAAAAGCTCCACGTTCCCGATATGTAGGAAGAGTTTTAGAACTGACACAAATAGCATACTTTGATGTCGGCAGCCAAGTTACACACTTATTCCATATCCATATTTTTATAATCGCGTCTTCATGAAACTTCTTCCATGAAAAAAGCAATTTTGATCGTATTTTTTTATAGTCTGAACAACTACGCAATTTCTACCTATATATTTTTTACAGTCTACTTGCTCTTGTGTAGTCAATTTATAAGTATCAGATTAGTTTTGATCATTAAACCGATTCCTTATTAAATACGGGGCAGTTAATCAGTTTAATATTGACGATCAGTCGTTAAAATAATAGTTTAAAGGCCCTGTTCTTATGAGCAAAGAGATCATTAAAATTGCTCTACGTCCTGAAGTGGTATCAGCCAATCTGTGGATTGCGTCCTCTGTAGTAAAAACTCGGATCGTATTGAAAGAAGTAATACATATTTTGAGGTGGACCATGAAATCTTCGTGGGTAGCTAACTGGTGTCCGAGAAAAGTCTGCAAAGAAAAAATTGGTTATACCTCTGTCCTTAATATGATATTAAATCTATGCCAGGGGTTGGCAACCTTATGAGATGGAATAGTCAGAAGCTACAGTTTACATAAATTCTCAGTTTAAAGAGCCGCTGAATGATTTCTTTTTTAACTACAAATTAACGACTTTGAATATGTTAATATCCTTCAATCATAAAAGTGTACCTCAATCGTATAATATAATCAACGTGCGAATAGATCAATAGATCAATCAAATGCTTGAAAGGTTTCGACATTAAAATAATGTTTTTTTCTGAATGGAATTTGAGAGCCATTATTTTATATCGAATGAACCGCATCCGGCTGGTGAGTCTTGATCGTCTTTTGGTCGAAGCTCTTAGTAAACGCTTGTAAAAGTTGAAATGATAAGCTGTCGGTTCGTAAATTCAGAGGTGGTGATTTGAAATTACGATTTTGTAGTTTTTTAGGAATAAGCATACGACGATTACGTATTTTAAATAATAGATATCGTGTATCAGTACTAAATAATGATAGGTAGATAATGAAATAATCAAAATACCTGGCGGTGGTAACACAAAGTTTGGAGGTGGTAATGCTACAGACGGGATGGGACCTTCTATTCCTGTGGGAACCTCCAGATCTGTCGGCGAATCTATCACGTGCCAGTTGGCCAGATTCGGATTTTCTACTTTAATATTCATGTGTGTTGTTTCTTTTTTTACATCACTACTTCCTTTTATACTATAATCGTGGGTTATTACATCACTCTTACCAACATTTTCAATAATGTCGGAAATCGCACCGTCTTTCTTTGTTGTGGTCACGTCATATTTACTAGACAGTGTTTCGTGACTATTCATGTTCGTCTCATGATTTATACTATTTTTTGTTTGTGGTACGTAATTATTCAGTTTCTTAGTATTATCTTTACTTTCAAAATCATTCTGATTGCCAACACTTGAAGAATTACTATAATCATGCCAAGTTTCTAGAGGGATGAGTGTATTCCTTTCTACGTTATCAATGAGATCAAAGCTTTCATTGCTGGATAGATTTCGCACATGTAACACTGACGATTCTTCATAATTAGCAATACTTTTCTGTGTTACTTGATAAAATTCAGTATTCACTAACTCAACGTTAGCCGATTTCTTCTTTTCTTCAAAATTTGCAATCTTCTCTATCGTTTCATTGTTAATTTTGTTAATATGTATTTTGTCATTAGCAGTGTTGTGCTTCATTTCGTTGTGTTTGGTTAAGTATGCGATCTCATCTCTGTTAAAAGTATCATATATGGGATCTTCCAGAGGTATACCTTCCGGGATATCTTCAAATGAATATTCATGTGTAATGACAATTTCGCTACTATCAGATAGCGATCTAGCTTTGTTGAATAAATTATCTGATGCTATGAATTCATTATTTTCGTGAGCTATACGTGGTGGACAGTCCTCCGGTATTGTATACATCTAGAAACAAACAAAAAATTGCATTAATTACATTAGAATTTATCATTTAACTTCAATGTCGATGCAGTACTTAAACTTTATCATATTTAGATAAAAATTACTTTAGACGGATTATAGTATTTAATTCTAAAGAAAAACAAATTTTCAATTTCTTTCCTTATCGTTAGTTAAGATTATTATTAATAAACATTATAAGTAAATATTGACACAAATAGGTCCAACGTAATGAAATAAAACGTCTGCCGACAAAACATTTCACTTTTAATATCAATCTTATTGTATTTGGGTTATAAGACAATATCGTTTGATCTCGATATGAAATATTATAGATTTTCGTGAAATATCGTAGGTTTATTTATTTTGGAAGAGTTACCTGAGTATGATTAATAGTGGGATTATAGTAGTCTGTCACTCTGGCATAGGCTGGTTTTGTCTTAGTCTTGGGAGCTACGGCGTGTACATAGTAGCAGGCGTGGCCCTCTGTTTCAGTTTCTATACCAGTGTCGTCCAAATAGAAGGTAGCTCGTCCACCGCTTGGGGTCAACTCGATGCGGCGTAGTACTGGAACCACAAATTATGCTCTTGAATCCCTAAGGTGATATTTAACTGGCTACGATCGAACGAGCAACGAGATCATCATGTGGAGATTAAGCACGCGATTAATTCAATTATGCGTAATTAAATTTTGCCAAAGTAATGTAAAAATGTAATTAAGTGAAAAGAGATTCTGGCATCTGAATAGTATATCCTTGTGAATAAACATTCAGTACATCTATTTCATGCCTTATTAAAATAGATTACGCTGTTTATCCAAATAATTTTCAGAAGATCGAGATTTTGCCCGATAGAAGGGAACCGAGACAAAGCTTGTCTCGAATGCTTTATGTATGCATTATTCATTGTATATTTACGAATTCTAATTAACAACGTACGTGTGTGTGGCGGCTTGAGCTGTGAGTATAGTCTGGCAGCGTCGGCGGCAGCGGCGCCCGGCAGTCGTACTTCTAGAACACGCATACCTCCCGCTCCACCAGCCCAACGTACGCACGCCTTTGTAAAAGAAACACATTATTTAAATACTTTGTGTAGAATATTATTATGTGAACGTTACGTAAACGACTAGACGTATCTGGATGTTACTCTCCTCTTGCTGGATTCGATCGAGGACTGGTCAAAACGCAGTGCCATACCTAGTAAACCCCTACTGCACCATCATCTTATCAGAATGGTCCCGGTATCTTGCAACGAAGGATCCGGAGTAGGCAGGAAAATCTCAACCTCACTAAGGTACACATTGCAGTTCCGATTCCAACACCAGTCAAAAGTTTTGTAAGTATGACAGACAGAGAGAACAAAGAGAAAGTGGTAGAGGCCAAGAACTTTTTTTACAATTAAATCGCCTAGTGTCGAAAGGTAATGTACGAAGTCATGAAAACCTACTCAAGGAAGTGGAAGACGTGTATGTTTTTATGGCACTAGGTTCCCTCCGCTTATGGATACTAATTATTTTCTGAAACAACATGGAGTGTTGAGGAGATATTTGAGCATGTTAATCGTTTTAACTATAAGTAGTTTCAATCGATTTTTAGAAAAATCTTTGATACTATAATATTTTGTATTGTGATGTCCGATTATGGGCTTTCAAAAAATTATATTATTTCTTCTTTAATAAATAACTTTATTCTTTACCACATTATTTCTTACAAGAAACTACTTCTTAATTTTTATTTTTATTTTTACTCATCACCATTACAATTTTTCTTTCATAATCACCATAGACAAAAGTCTCAATTTTTTATAATTTACGACTAGGAATGTTGATATTGCATACTCAACATACTAAAAAGCAAAACTGTGTGATAATTCCATTTATAGCCACCATCTCCCAAAATTTTATAATTTGTTTATTTCGACGCTATGATAATTAGGTTGACAGAACGTAATAGTTACCTCTATTTCTGCGGCGCAAAAGCAGAGCGTTTGGTTGGCGTCACAGTCGAAGGTGCCGTCGGTGCGCACGCGCACCTGCACCGCGAGGGAGCGTGCACTCCCCGCCACCACCCCCCTCTCCATTGCCCTCGCGCTGTGGTAGGAGCGGCTCGCTTGCACGAGAACGCAACCAGATCCTGTGGTAACATAAAAAAAAACCTCATACACTTTTTACTTCGACAATTCAATTCAAAAACAGTCTTTTGATCTTTAGATCTTCTGACTCTTCTGGTTGGTATACCTCTTTCTTTACCTTAGGTAGGTATACCTCATAATTCGAATTCGAAGCTGCTGTCGCTCAAGAAGTAAAATGGCTTTAAGCCGTACTTATAATTTTATGCAAATAATATTATATTTTCCCGGAAAATTGGTTGCAAACGCAAACCTTTAATATGCATGAGGCTTTTACTCAAGGTGAATTTAAATTTCTATAAATATAAATGTGATTTATATCACATGAATTGTTTGACTGAAAAACAAAAACCCGTTAATTTACTAAGGTTCATCTACTTACCTTCTACGGCTACGTCGAGTTGATCTCCAGTAGTCATCTTCATGACTTGAGGTACTTTATCCCCAGCTTGAATGAGCGTTGACTTCACATCATTTCTGCTGCGAACTTTTACAGTGAGGTTTAGTGGCGAGGATGGTTGCACCGTTGACCACGCCGATAGAGCTTCAAGTGCTACTAGAGTATCCTAACAAATCAGTTATCTTGTTGTTTAATAAAGTTTTCACTAATATCTATTTAGTATGGTATCTTCTTTTAAAAGTAATTATAAGTAATTCTGCAATCGACATAATTTTTCATCAAATAGGGAAGCATTAGAAATATGAACTTTATCCTTGGCGCATTCTCCAGGCACCTTCAGCTTCTGCGTTGTTATTAATCTAACAAAGTTCTTATTACTGCCAGGTTTTTTTTGATGAATATTTTAATACGAAAGAGATTTGGAAGATATTTAATTTATTTTTAATAAAAACTACGAGTATTTCTCTTTGTTTTCATGACAGTTGATTTTACTGTTATACCCTGTTTCAGTTACCTACCAGGCGTATCTATCGTATTAAGATCGTCTATCGTACTTCTTTATGCAATTATTCCAGTGGCGTCGACAAATACTCACCTGCGTGGATAGAAATCCGCCAGCAGCATGCCTGTGGGCGGATAGCCAGCGTACGGCACCTCGAGCGTCTGAAGCACAGCTAGTGGTACGTAACCCTTTAGGGCACAATGATAATGCAGATAGCGCATAACTGGTCGCCTCTATGGATGTTGACAAACTACCTGCGTGAAATAAAATCATTCATAAATCATCAGTCCATTTATGTCCCTATTGCTGAGGCATAGGCTTTTCATAAGGATAAAACCACATATTTGAATAATTTAGCTATTTTACTAGTTCTTACTTAAAACAACACACAACTTTTGCAAGGGTCGGTCACGGGATCGGTGACCAAAAAAATGATCACCTAGAGCTATTCCGTGCTTCGGAATGCCCGTTAAGCTGTTCTCGGCATTTGCAGTCATTAGTGTTGCCCAAATTCAGTTCCAAGACCAAGAACAAGACCGCGTATTTTTAGCAAGAACAAGACTACTCCCGCAAGACTCTTGCGTCTTGCAGCTAGGACTTAGCGCTATTTCACGGAGTAGTTAGGAATAACAGTTCGGTGTATAATAACACTTCAGGCTTAAGGAAACATCTAATATCTTTCCACAAAAAGGAATCACAAATATTTCTTCCTGTTAAACCAAAATTAAGCGGAGATATCGCAAGCTTTTTCGTAACTGCTGGAAGAAGTGGACAGGTAAGAATAAATTTACTTATCTCACAATTACATAACACATATTAAGTATGTAATTATCGTGTTAAATATTTTTTATAAAGCACCCATATTTTCATTTGTTTTTATAATCGGCCTGTAACAACTAAGTACTTTATTTTGGTAAATTACAGTACAACTTTAGATTTAACAACAACAAACCTCCTCCTCCTAAACGCTCAAACCTAGTATGTTTTAAATAATAACACAAGATTTATTGTTTTATTTAAGTCGGAAAACAGTAGTGACAAGGTCCACACTTAGAAGGAAAGTCAAAGAGCGATTTGAAGAGCTCCAATTGAATCTCAAGGAACGACTTCAATAATTATCATCTAAAATGTCGTTTACCATTGATGGGTGGACGTCAATTGCTGGTAGGAGTTACTACGGGGTTACTATGCATTATATAGACAACGAATGGAAGTATCGATCTGTAGTTCTTGATTTTATACCATCACGCGGTCGACATACTGGGCAAGATATTGCAACGATTTTCCACGAATGTTTATTGGAATATGACATAATTGATAAAATACAAGGTATCACGGTCGACAACGCAACTGCAAATACTAAATTTATGTATGAACTAGGCAAACAGCTGCCACCACACTTTGATTCAGACAATCAACATTTCCGGTGCTTTGCTCACATTTTAAACCTTGGTGTACAAGTATTTATTAAAGACCTTAACATTACACTGTGAGACTGACACTAACGCGCAAGATCAGCAGTATGAAGACTATGCAGACGAAACTGAGGAAGATGAAGAATATGCACCAAATATTGCTAACTCGCGTACATCTGTAACAAAGTTACGCAGTATTTCCAGCAAAATAAAAAGAAGTGAAATAGTGAAGAAGAAGTTTCAGTCTGCTTGTGAAGCAGCTGGCGTGCCATCAAATCTGAATCCCATTCTTGACTGTCCAACGAGATGGAATTCCACACATGATATGATTGGATTTGGTTTAAAAGTGAGAGCGGGCATTAACATATTGTGCAGTTCTGTCACCGAATTGAATGATTTTCAAATCACAGCTAGTGAATGGCAAATACTCGAAAAAATACATAAGTTTCTAATAAACTTTAAACTTTTAATATACAAAACTTGGTGGAGAAAAATATGTTACATTACCGCTAGTCATTGTATCATTCAATCTCTTGCTCGATAAAATTGAATCCATGGTAAAACAGTTAGATGAGAAACCTAATCGATCTGAAGTGGATGAAAGGCTCATTCTGGCTTTCCAAGCAGCTCGAGACAAAATGCTTAAACATTATAAGAAGAGCAACTGGATTTATTGTACTTCTTTAATTTTAGACCCAAGGCTAAGGCTCAGACTTTTGACCTGACAATATGGGGGAAGCAACTTAATACAGAAAGCCTGCGCAAGTTCAATGAACTTTATGAAAAATACTACAGTCTACACTCACTGAACAAATCTCTGGAATTACCAAGAAAAGAAAATAAGGTATGTGATGAAGATGAAGACGTAATAGATTTTGATCTTCTTCTCAGCCATAATCAACCAATGAATTGGTGTAGGCCTCCCTCAGCCCCCTCCACTTCTCTAGATTTTGATAAACTGTATGAATGTTCCTCGACGTCATCTGGATCTTGTCTTCAAGGCTTAGTGATAGACGAGTTGGAGGAGTACCTGAGAAAACCAAGAGCTGCCAGCTCGGAAGACATTTTAGATTGGTGGACGACGCATGGAGACAGAGTTTCCGACTTTATCGAAGATGGCCCGTGATTTTGTCTTAATGCAGGTATTTATTAAATCGTAAAACTCTTTAATTAAATTCTTTCTAGAGAGATTCTTTAAAATACAGTGAATTTATTATAAATAATTTGTTTTTTACATGTTTTAGCATGTAAGCGTAACTGTTTATTAAGAAACAGTTTCTCCCATGGAAAACGGCGTATAGCTCAGTTGATAACCATGTGGCAGTAATCGAATTTTTTATCAAATCTTCAGACATTTATTAATCTGATTGTTCTTTACTACGGCTATGTTAATTCCTAAGATCTAAAGTAAACTTTAATAAATAGCAATAGTCTAATAGGTAATTGCAAGACTTGCAAGACTCTTGCTGCAAGACCAAGACCAAGACTGGGAGCGCAAGACCAAGACCAAGACCAAGACCAGGTGTATTGGCGCAAGACCAAGACCAAGACTGGCCAAGTCTCGTCTTGTTCTTGCATTTGGGCAACACTAGCAGTCATCAATACCCTTCAATTCGTATTGGGCCAGCGTGGAGAATCAGGGCCCATCCTCTAACTATCCATAAGGAAGGCCTGAGCTCCTGTAGTGGAGATGTAAAAGGGCTGATGATGATGATGATGCAATAAATATAGTGATAACTTACTGGTCTCCCAGTAGACGTAGTCTCCAGTACGACGCGCTAGTTTGAGCAGTTCCATCAATTCCCTCAACTCTTCGTCTTCCTTCAATCCGCCGCCTACTAGTTCTCGCCGCTCCCATAGGAGGCTGGCTTCGTTGGTCTTTTGAAAAAAAAAATATTACGGCAGCTTTCGTGACTTTTCACAATGTACGAAATTGTCTTCATGGACAAATGGCACATTTTTTCTTACCATCCATCAGAAAAGGTCATAGTCACCCGAAAATTGGCCAAGTGCGACACGAAGTATGTACCCTTTCATAAATCAACATAGTGCACAGAAATATAGTAATTGTAGAAATGTAGGAGAAATTTTGAAAATATACTGATGTCCAGATCAAAATTTTGTACAGTGCTATAGTCAGCATTACAGTCAGCAGCACGTGAGTAATCATGCTTAATAGACTATGAAAATGTTTCAATATAACTCTATTAGAGGGACTTAGGCATGTACGTCGTGTCACCACGGTGGATCCACGCTCGTTTAAAAATATGGTATTTAGAACTAAGAACACATTCATAGATAATTACAACTTATTTGTAATATATATTATATATATTATTCTTTATTTGGATTTTATTTTATTTATCAATGAATCCCATAAATTTCTAACACCGATAATTGTTTCACTAAATAATACTGTGGTGAATAGTTTGCTCTATAGTCTTCAAAATGAATTATTACCTTTCTGATTTCATCTTCGTAAGTCCTAATCCTCATGAAAGCGTATCCTAAAAGCGCTTGAGCGTAGACCCTGTTAGGAGCTCTAGCTTTACCGGGGGGCAAAGCCCTGAGGCAGGACAAGGTGTTGTGCAATACCCGGGCAGATATAGGTGCAGAACTTTCTAGAAGGGAAGCAATGACGTAGGCGGTCAGGGACACACTTGATATTTCGCCTTCTTCGTTAAGACCTCCCTGTGAAAATTCACATAATTTCATTTTTTTTAAATGCGTAAAGTGTATTAGTAATTTTAAGTTCGTTTTTTTGTTCTGAAGGAAAGTGGCTTGTAAAACATGGTGTACGCCTCCTGTTTATACCTTGAGTTCAGTGTGGAAGACTTGTCCTTGGGCTCGGAAGCAGCCGTTTTCCATCTGTTGATTGAGCAGCCAACGAGACGCTCGTTCTAAAGCGGGAGGTGTTGGTAGTCCAGGGTTCAATATCTGTAGCAAACATAAAAGTGGTGAGCGCAGAAACAATGACATATCTTTTATGTATTTATAGGCCATATTTTTAGATTCTTGATTCGTTTTTTAGTCGGGTGAGTGTAGAAAAATAACTTTTCTTTAATGAAAAGTTAATAAAAGCTTAAGTTACTTGAGTTTCGGCTTCGAGTAATGTATGTAATGTTTTTTAACATTTATTTACTAATCCAGTAAATAAAAAAAATACATATTCAAATTCTGTGCATGTTTTAATTACCTTGTGAGCTCTTCGCATGTATTTCAATGAGAATGCTGTGAGCCAAGTAGACGGTGTTGGATCAGAACTTCCAAAAGCACTGAATCCTCCGTCCGGATGTAAATACTGCAGCTGACGGGTGAATCCTAATAAAGACAAAAATAACAATTATGTAGTATATTTTATATATTCGCATGTGTCATGATTCCAATGTGTCGATAGGTAGGGGGATTACAGTCAGATTATTGAAAAATCTTTGAAGAAGTGGACATTGGTCGGTCATTCTTTGTCCTGTTTATGTGATTGTAAGTAGACCGAGTACAGTCAGATCGTTACAGACAGTGGATCTTTGGTAACGAGTACGTGAGGATGGTGGCGATGGTGTAGTTATATTGTATATACCAAGTATAGTTAATACCGCTAGAGATGTGGGTGTGTTATCTTTAGCAATTAGTGAAACAGGTCTGTGCCCGGCTAGGGAATGTTCTATTTACATATTTATAGATAGAGTACCTAGCTGAATTCAGTAACATTTTGTGGGTGTGTAATTTTTGATTGAAACACAATGATATAATAGTTCTGCCACCAGCACCGCTTACCACTAATTACTTTAATAACTGTAATAACAATTGTATTTGGGTTGATTAAAATAGAATCTACTACCATCATCATCATCAGCCCCATTTACGCCCACCATAGCAGGGGCTCATTTTTTCTTTACGGATGATTAAGGAGTATAGGCCATGACCCCCCACGCTGGCCCAAAGCGGTTAATACTGCAAATGCAGTCGGGACAAACGGCTTAACGTGCTTTTGGAAGCACGGAGTAGCTCGAGACAATAATTTTTGGCCACCCATCGCATGACCGACCCTTGCGAATGTGGCTTAACAACAACGATCGCGGGCTGATTGACTACGCCACCGAGCTACATAAATACATCAAATTTACTATAAATATATTCAACTGTTACCTCTGGCAACATGCACGGCGGCGGCGACGGCAGCGGGTGCATCGGGCCGCAGCTGTGAGAGCGCCAGCAAGTTCGTGGCCAGACGCGCCATGTTCTGTTCCCCACAGCCGCGCGGTAGAGTTACTAGTGCATCCGAATCCTACAATAGGGCAGTTTCGGCAGTGAAAAATAAGTCACGAAATGCCACAAAAACTAAAATTTACATCGCAAGCAACACAGATATTCTGATTTTCAGAAGGCACGTTAAGCCATTGGTCCCGGCTACATTTGCAGTCGTTAATACCCTCCAATCCACATAAAGCCAACGTGGAGAGTCATGGCCCATCCTCTTTAACCAACCATAAGGAAGACTTGAGCTCCTGCAGTAGGGACGTTAACATTGATATTGGCAATGATTACTAGTGCGATACAATAATAATACTGGACTCGCCCGTGCGCCGACGAATGGTTCGGCGAATTCGACGCTCGAATAGAGAGTCTGCCGGCGAGCCCACTACTGCGTGCACACGTTATTTGTAGTTTCCCGCGCTTACCTTGCTGTCGCGACAGCTCGCGCGGTCCGCCGTTAAAACGTATTTGTTTAGTTTAGTTAATAATTAATTAGGTTAGGGTTACGTTTAGTTCTATAACTTTCCTGTTTGTATTTTATGTTTTCTGTGATCGCCAGACAGTACAAACCGTTATTGAACTTTATGTCGTTTTATTGGTTTGAAAACCACCACATGCTAAAAAAAAAAAAAACAAAAACGTTCCCGGCGCCCTAAACTATCGATTACAAATATCAAATATGAGAAATCTTAGTTCAGTTTAAGTTTAAAATTGATATAAAAATTTTACATATGAGCTCGAATCGTCAATTTTCGTACTAAAGGTACAGAGTTATAAAGTGGTTAAAACAGAGATCAACTTACTGCAAGTAATGGTCCAGTGAGATCACCAGAGGCCCAAACTACAAGTGCCTCAGTGCCAGAGACAGCCTCGACTGGATTCCAGGACCATGTTACTTCCGAGGTACTAGCTTCAGGGCTATCTGATTTATATGCAATGCAAATTTTTTTTAAATTGCTTTTTATAATTGCATATTCTCTATAATTGCTTACATTGATGACTCACCTCTACCACAAAGTAGTATAGACTTGTGTTCTTGCTGGAGTATCCCTTCAGGCTCAATGGTCATATGGATGATCACCTCGTCACTGAAAAATATAATGAATACCAAAGCTACCATATATTTGACAGTTCTGAAAATTTACTTCATTATTATATTTTGATTAATTTCGCATTCACAATGCTATACTAAAACATATTCTTAATAGAAAATGCTTAAAAAATCCACTTGGTCCCTGGCACCCTGAGACGGGAATCGAACCCACGCCCTTTCGCAATCCGGGCGACTGCTCTAACTGCTGAGCTACCCAGGACCTAACAGGACTGACGAATCTTTCAAGCACTTGTCACTTTTCGCTACTACAGTGCCTATTCTCATCAATGTTTGGGTGGATCCAAACAGCCGAAAGAAATATACAAATATTGAAACTTTCGATAAAGATGAGAATTTTTTTCTAATAATTATATTTTGATTAATTTCGCATTCATTACTTTACAATTTAATCCATGTTGGACAAAGAATTATAGAATTTGGCACGTTTTGGATGATGCCCTTTTTGTATTTCCAAGTTCCAACAATGTGTTAGTTGATCTTATATGTAGACGATTGCTAATATAATGTAACATCAGAAAAATGGATGTTTTAATATTTAAAAAATTAGAGACTGGATTGTTACCTAACGCCAGCTCTCCCGATTGTGCTGTTAGCACAGTTGCCGTCTTGGACTGATTTGGCTCGTATACTGAGACGAGCGTCGCCGGCAGATTTAGCTGTTATCTCGACGCGTCTCGCGATGGAAGATCGTGCGCCTACGCATACGGCTTCTACGCGTTCTACAGGACCTTCTAGGTTCGAATCTGGTAGAATTTGGATTTGTACCTGGAAAAACAGGTGCCGATTCATTTGTATTAAATTAAATTAAATTAGAGGAGGTTAATGGTGCATTGGTGAGTACATACGTGCATGCGGTACGTTCTGTCAACGATACGGAGGATAAGCAACTTTGAAAGCGTCGGTTATAGAAAAGGTGACCAAAAATTTGTAATTTCTAGGTTCGTTATACTTCACAAGGCACGTTAAACCGTTGATCCCGGATATATCTGGTATCTGGTACTGATACCGCATGTTATGTTATGGGCCCGTTCTATATAGATATTTGATTCCATTAATGCATAAGGAAGGCCTCAGCACCAACAATGGAGGCTGAATTATTTAAAAAGACTAAAGATTTGAAAAAGACATGCTAAATTTATGATTATTATTGACTTTCATTCTACTTACGCTTAAAGATTCATAGAGGTAATTAAAAAGACGATATCGGATGATTGTAGAGTCTCCATTCTTTAATCTTTGTGGACTGTCGGCATGAATGAAGAACTCGCGAAACACCTGAAGTGGTAAGCACGTGGGTTGGATGATCGAAAACTTGAAGTAAAGTAGGCGGAGTTTTTTTATCCTCTTTATTCACAACGATACAGTACATGCATACTACAGAGTAATACATTTGTAGCAGATAATATACCTGCAGTACAGCTGGCGTGGAATAAGCAAGTCCCGTTCTAGAGATGCAAGTAGCTGCAGCTTCGAACCTGCTGATGCTATCTGGAGCTCTGCCCGCTACAGTAGTGGTACCGTTTGTGCCTACTGCTGCCAAGCGCCATAGCCATGCCTGTCAAAAATCTTTTTTGTGACTGATTTTTATGACTATAAAAATATTATTACCATATAATGATTTCCACATTGCTCATGACAAATAAATATTAAATAGAATATTATTTTATTATATTTCGAAATTACTACAGTGTTTACTATTAAAATATATTGTAATCTTAAGTGATATTATCATGGTATAAATAGGTATATGGGAATCAAGCAAGTATTTAGTTATTTTTTTTTCGTTATTCTATCTATTCTAAATGAAGTTGGGTACTTCATTCGTCATTTTACCAATTGCTAGGTTTGTGATTTACTTCTGAAAAGTCGCTCCTGGGTACAGTTGCATCGTCGATGAGAGGCGCTGGTCCAGCCGCGCACTTGTTCTTCGTGAGACGAGTCATTTCTCCACCTATTACTCTCACTCCAGCGGCTGCTAACCATGATGAAGTCAACTCTACGCTACTCGTTGGTAACTCCGACATATCCGATGCTGACGACGATATATTGATTGATTATTTTGTACAGCATATGATATATTGCTTTGTTAGTTAGAGAGTAGCAGAATAATGGTTAGGAAATAAAACAAAGAAAAGCATGACGTATAAGAAGTTGTTGTATATTAATCGTTAAATACTGCACCATTGAGGATATCGATGACGCAGTGCTTAACGAGCTCGGTCTGCGATATGGTAGTTAAGCAGCTTTTTTAATGGCTGGTCATAGGATGGGTGACCAAAAATGTGCTATCTCGTGCTCTTCCGTGTTTCGGAACGCACATTAAGCAGTTAGACCCGGCTGCATCTGCAATAGTTACACCCACCAGACCAGCGTGATAGGTCATGACTCATTTTCCTTATACTATTTTATTCGATTCTAACGATAAGAAAGGCCTTAGCTTTACCAGTGGGGTCATTAATAGGCTAGTGATGACGATGATGATGGAAGTTGTTATATTATAAAGGTGAAGTGTATGCGTCATCGACGCAAAATCACAAATTGGAACTTAGTATACTTCAAATTTTAGTACATTCAGCAAAAAAGAAAAGAATGAAATGAAATAAAAATATTAAGCACATTACTCACTTAGGAAACACGTTCCAGCTGCGTCATATTCCGTCAAATTCCTATGACTCTCTATCAGTCTTCTTAACCCTGACATGAGAGAATCTTTCACTGATGTCGATGGCTGGTTCCATTTAGCAGCAGAGTCTAAAACTGTTAAGGCGCACAGAGCTGGCCCTGTGGTGGAAATTTGAAGACTTGCAACGGATCCTGGAGCCACCTGTCTCGATGGCCAAGTTAGTTCCACCTAAAAATACAGAAATGCATTAGTGGAAGAACATTTTTTATTACCAGTCGGATACATTAATTTAGATTTATCACCACTAAGCTGATATTAGTATAGCTTTACACCTTGAAGAGTTCTTCCGTGATGAATTTGAGAAAAAATCAAAGACTCATGATCTTAAAAAATAAATAATTTAATGAAACTCTCTGGTAGTATAACAGAGCTAAAGTAATGGCACTCAAATATAGCAGTAATTTTGATCGACTTACTTTGTTTATAAAGCACTCGTCCAAGTCGAAATGCTTGTTAGCACTAATCAGCTCCCCATTATAATAGAAATAAGCTATTAAATGACTATCTGGACACATTTGATGTGTCACTTTGATAGGTAACATCACTCTAAGTAAATGTCTGTCTAATAACGAATCTGATTCAAATTTACTGGTATTGGTCAAGATTTTATTGAAGTTGTCGAATTTTCTGTCGGCATTGGCCAAGTTAGTATCGAAGTTGGCCATGTTTCTGTCGAAGTTGGCCAAGTTCCTGTCGAGAGTTGCTATATTTGCGTGATGACATTCACTGTCCCTGGACGTCGTTGGTATATATTCGGAAGAACTGGTAGTTGGGCATTGTGTTGTTGCACCCCATCTGTAGATAATCCCTCCTCGAGTTATAACCTGAAAATATAGTTTTGTATAATACCCATTGAGTATTTACCGATTTGTTAATTATAAAGAAATATCTATCTGTTACTTTTTACGAAAAATAAAAAATATTAAATATGTGTTTGAGTATCTACGTCTAATTCAGTGGGTGGAATATTTATATGCCACTTTCAAGGAGTCAATCGCCATCTATAGGATACTGAACTCAATTTCCAATCAAGTCAAATAATATGAGAAAATTTTCTATATTATTTCGTGATAAGGTGTCAAACCTTATCTACTTTGTTTTAGATTTCCGACCACAAGTGCTTTAGTTACTTAACTTGTATCTGAAAATGTATGTGATATGATGTTGTTTAATATTTATTTATTTACCCGTTTACATATAATTTTAACTATTAGCTTTTTCACTGCCTTGATTGATGTCGTCTTCAAATACCAATTATAAAAGTATGATATGCTTAGATAGAAAGTAAGCAAGTATATCGATGGGCCTTCGTTTTCTTTGCTGACTTCCCGTGGTCGGTAAAATTGCAGATACAGACGACAGACCTATACTATGATCTATGTTTGTGCAGACCAATTGCTCAATGTGCTAATTTTTACGTGTATCTCAACTATTGCCATGCATGCATATGACTGCATTATTCCATTGTATTATCGGCCTGAAGTTAATGTTTGAGGAAGAATTTGCACTAATAATATTGGACTTTAGGTAGATAATACAATTTTAAATGCAAGTCGTTCAGATTCTTTTGAGATGCGTTTATTACGTAGACATTAGCAGAATTGACTTACTGCCCTGTGATTCTGTAAAAATCCAAACCCGTATTCGAATTCACTCAGGTGTCTGAATTCACTTAAAAAAAGCGGCATCTGCTCAACCTTGGTTCGTGGCATAAGTAAAGTGAGTTCCGAAATGACATAGAAATAGAATATCTGAGACACCATATATCTAATCAACTTTGTTTTATATTGTGATACAAAAAAAAAAATTACATGTGTGAATTCGAAATCGGGTCTGGATTTTTACTGAATCGCAGGGCTGGTGACATATTGAAAACGAGCATGCTTGTTTGCATTCCGACAAAGGGTCTCTAAGCCTTCGAAATATTTAATCAAACTCACCACAAAGTGTACAGTCAACGGCTTGGTGACGTTATTCAAGTCGATGTACAGTGGTACGACTGTCTTTCCTGATTCTGTGTCAGACTTTATAGGTCCTAAGGCTGCATGCACAGAGCCTGCGCGTCTCACCACTACTTCTAGAGGCGGTGCTGTAACTGTGCTGTCGTTAACAAGGGACGCCTAATGACAAATATTATCATCACCATCTTCATCATCACTTATTAATGTCCCCACTGCTGGGGTATAGGCCTTTTTATGTATGGAACCGAATCAAATGAAAATGACACATTAATAGGAGAAAAAGAGATTACTATACACTGTCTAGCACCTTCATGGTGCTTTAGTTAGTGCGATCGGTTTGCAATTGTAAAATTTAAGTGTCTTTGAATGGGTCCATGCTTCAGAAGGCATTTTAAGTCGTTGGTCTTGGCTGCATCTACTTCTACCAGTTCGATTTACTCTTTGGATATCTATGGAACCCTAAAGCTCTGTTAATATTTAAGATTTGCCTGGAATGTGTGGTAATCAGCAGTGTATCCGGCGGTGAAGGTGACCCGAGCGATGCCCCACGCGTCGGTCTCAGCGGTGGGACACATGGTGCCGCGACACACGCTCACCACCACCCCACTCGCCGGCTTGTCGTCCCAACGAGTCGCTTTCACCTGTTTAATATAAAGAGAAACTAAGGGGGAGTGGATGGGCGGTCCGCCGCGGGCCATCCGCCAAAATCATAAATCATATAATAGATTGGTTTTAGACAAGAATAAATTAAAATTACAAGTGACACACACACACACCAACATGTACGAGCGTGCTCTTATTCAAAGATTATTTGATTTTAAATAATGAAAATCCGTAAGTGGCATTAAGACAATTATTTAATACTGCGCGTAAAAAGATTTCGTTAACAATATCTCATTACGTTCCGCGTTGAGATAGTTATCAATTGCTATAATAATATTATATGTTCTTCTAATTCACGTTTCGATTATTTAAAAACCTTTACAAATAAGATAAAGCATTCTCAAAAGATAAAGCGTTATGGTTGGGAACCAATAGCAAGATAATATTTTTTTATGTACGCACTTCTTAAGTACTTACTTTAAGTTTGTATGGTAGTCTAGGAGATATAACAGCTCGATGCTTCGTCAAAAACTCCAGAGTTATTGGCTTGTCGACGACTTGCGAAACTACTGTAGTATTCTGCCATATTCTTGTACCATCCTCCTTTAGAGAACATAACATTTGATCAGTTTTGCATTCACAATGCTATAGTAGGAAACCTTTTTTCGCTGGTGATCTTTTTTCAGTTATTCTCGCTACTAGTAAGCGCATTTTTATTCAAAGATAATATACCTAAAGAGCCACAAGAAATATTTTTAAACTTTTAAAATTTTCATCGCATCTTAGGCACCGGGGTCTGGTTAATTTATTTTGTGTCTTTCTACAATACAAACATAAAATTGAATTACAAGGAAGGTTAAACAGAAATACGAGGTTTAATAACAATGAGGATATAACCTGGAATGAAAAATCAGCAACTACAACATCAGGAGGACTTGTTCCATTTAATCCTATTCGCCTAGACGCTGCAGCGTGTCTGTGGCATGCTCGAGGTGCTTTTATCCTGACCACAGTCCGGATACCAGTGGGTTCGTGGCCAATTGATGTGCCGCCAGCTCCCCGTATCCTTATCACCAGCATTCCCTCCACAGCTTCAGTCCAAGGATATCTGAAGAAATATTGTAATCGAAAACAAATCAATACTAAATAATTTATTGTCAAGCATATAGCTTAGATCGTCCAATCGATTGACTTTTTTGGAATACCTGATTACAAAATGGTCGAACGTGAAGTGCTAAATGGCTCCACATTATAAAACATTAAAGTTATATAAAACATTCTGCTATAAAAAGTTTGAAAAATAAAACAATGAAATTGTTCAAATGTCCAGATTTAAAAAAAATTGGTTCCTTGATCAGTGTTAAAGATGGCTGCGTAAAAATTATTAAACTAAACTAATTTATTAAATTAAACTTAGATTTGCAATTGTTCAAAATGGGGGATTAAAATAATACAGCTTAGTTAGCAGCACCTCTTCTACATTAAAAACGATGAACATTCTAAGGAACCGAACAATCGAAGAAAATAATAAATTGATCCATATCTTACCTAACACAGACAGTCCAAACCAAGCGATCGCTGGTTCTCAACACTTTTTGTGCGTGACGAACACTCAGCTGGAACGGCGGAAGCTCGTAATTGCCGACAAGGAACGCTGTCGAACCCTAGAAATATATACTGAGTTTAATATTGCGTAACAATGGATTGCCAAAATATGCCGCTAAAAGATGATCGAAATGAACCCCAAATGGAATCCGTTACAGAAGGTGTAAGAAAGGAATTTCAGATTATTTTGTATGTAAGTATATAAACCACCGTAACCTAGTACGAGCCGCCTCCTAATGTCATCTGTCTATCATTCGCGAGGTGTATAGAAAATTCGTTCGCCTTCTTCGTCTCGGATTGATTTGTTATAACAGTCTGACTCGATTTTTATTTTAAAATATAGCAACACTAAACATTATTTGTTAGAAATTACAAATAAATGTTTTTGCGAGTTATCTATAAACTGTTTTCAGTGGTGCACGACATATTATGACTAAAAACGATAGGGCATTTGTTGGACTAGGGATTATCCATCACTTAGTATCACTTATCCTTATTAACCCTCTGCATTATACACGGATAACAGTAAGGACGTTATAGATTTTAAAAACAATAAAAAAAAAAACTTTAAAATATAGAACCGACTTCAAACTAAAAAAAAGTGAAAAATAATACTCATCTCAAAAGAGACTTTTGTAAGTTATTAAGTAAATCTTGAATAAGTCGCTTTTAAGGGAAGTATTACTATTCACTTTTTTAAAGTTTGAAGTCGGTTCTATTTTTTCAAGTTTTTTTAATTCACGCTTTTTAGTGATATTTTTATATAATGGGTAACACTAAAAATACTTTTCTGAAAACCACACCGTGACCAAGATTTTGTACAGTTGTTTTGTATAAATCAACGACCTCAGTAGATCATAAAAATATGACGTCACAATAGTATTAGGGCATGCCCCAAATTTCATGATTTTTGATCATGGCTTGTTCGTCTATACTTTTAATAAAAGAGAGGGAGAAAAAAAACAGCCATTACTGATATTCTTGCCAGTTCTTCTCCGTACAAGGTATGGCTTGACTTCCTCCTCCCTCTTAACAGATAACGTCGTTTTTGAATGATTCTTATCGGTAGATCATCCTTTGAGCGGTAGTATATTTGATTTACTAAAAGCTTTATCACCTGCGTCCCATCTCCCAGCCTAGCGTGAATACTCCATCTGCCTGGTGGTGCTAGTTCATCGAGCGAATGTTGTATTTGTGCTATGCCCATGCGCACTCGTACGTTACGCCACTGCGCAGCTCTAGTACCAGCCCATGCACCTCGTGGTCCTTCAAGCCATATCTCTTCAACCTGCACTCAAATATACAGAACAATAAAATAATTTACATAGAATATTTACAAATCTCTTGTGAAAGAAAGCTTAATAGCTTCTATTGGACTATATTAGAACAAAACTATTGAAGTTTTTACAGCGAAAACCCATAATTTAATTATTTTCTTTGTAAGTATTCACAAATATATTTATAAGTGAACCGTAAGATATCTTCAAGCTGATTCTTTGCGGGCCAAGCAAAGATTACTGACGGCGGAAGGCACCATCTTTACAAAGTCCTTCACTTCCTTAATATTCATCATCTTATAAAAACTCACTTATTTTTTCTAAAATCACCCTCTTAAAAATGTAACCTCTTTGAAGATCGGCTGATTTACGGTTAATTCACGAATTTTAACATGTTTATTTCTTTGTTTGTAGTCGTAAAGTTTTTGCATGCCAACGTCAATGAAATGAAACTGATTCGTCCGTCCGGTTCCCAGTTCATTTTAATATTTACGGTTTGTTTACCGTCAATTCACTTATTGTGCAAAGCTTAATTAATCTACCTGCTATAATTATAATATATGTGATACATCTGATAGATAAAGAAGTGTCCTGTAAGAAATATCCCCCTAGTCTCTTTAGTCTTTAATGATTAATTTTGTCTAGCTCTGTTTACCGGTTTTTAAGAGCTTCGACTGTCGTCAGCTTTTTCTATATCAAAGTTAGATATAACTTCTAATTATATTCATATATTATAAATGTTATAGCATTATTCAATGCTAAAATTATATTTAAATATGTTTTATTATGAATAGAAAGCGACTTTGTTAATTTGTTGAGATCAGCGTCTGCGTCGGTGCAATGGTGTTATGGTGTCGACCGGTTTCGTGTGACTATTTACTTGCCTGACTAACTGGCTTTGAAGGAAGTACTTCAACAGAGTATGATGTAGTTAGCTTTCCTAGAAATATAGACTTCGTAAATGAATAAATGCTAAAGAGATTGTGGCACTCATTCGATATCAAGTTTTGTAGACCTTAAAAGAGGTGCATAACATATATTTTATTTTGCCAGCTAATTCACAAGTGGAACATTGTTGTTTTCAAATCTGTATGAATATAGGGTGATTATAAACTATTTTTTTGATTGATAAGTTAATAAATATTAGCAACAACACTTACATAAACAATACCTAATTTTAAACGGTTTTTGTGGTTTTATCACGTGCATGTACTGGTTCTTTTTATAGAAAATAAAATTAAAGAGAGCTATCATTTTCTTGTCTTTGTCTGGAGTAAGTACGTCCAAATAATCAAGTTAAAATTACTTATTAACATAGTACGTGTAAACTAGCCATAAAGAAAAGAAACGGATTAAGTAAAAATTTGAGAGGTAGAATAGGTAGGTTTTCTGTCGACCTAATTAACGCATGTTTTCTTAATTTTCTCATTTTCTGGTTTTTATACTCAAAAAGTAAAGCGAAAACCCTGTTATGACTCCGCTGTCTATCCATCTGACACCAGGCTCTATCTCATGAATCGTGAGTTAGATAGTTGAAAATTTCACATTTGATGTATTTCTGTTGTTTGATGTGTTTCTAACAAAACTATTAGAAAAAAAGAGAATAAAATATTTATATACTTCTATACTAATATTATAAAAAGGAAAGTTCCGAAACTACCAATTTTAAAAATTCTTTCACTTACGGGAACATAAGCTATATTTTATCACATAAAACAGTAAATAAAGGGATGAAAATGGGTTTGAAATTTTTTATAGGGAATCACAACGTAATCACAGTTTTTTTATACTATTCAATTTGTCATTGTAATTACTAGGGATCACGCGGACGAAGCCGCTGAAAAGGGGCGACTTTTTTCACATTTCCGGTTCGAATATTTCGTGCGTGACTAACACTTGACCGATTTTTTCTAGAAAATGGATATAAATTTTCTATTTTCTCGTTTTTCACTACAACACTTGACCGATTTTTTCTAGAAAATGGATATAAGTTTTCTATTTTCTCGATTTCCCTACAACTAAATTATTTCGACTTAGGTATGTTTTGGTCAAAACCGATTTTAAATTAGCGAATTTTTATTTTGACGCCCGGGCGCCCTCTTGAATCTAAATGACTCATGAGGTTGTAAATACTGTCAAACAGGTTTCATCAGTTGTCGTGGAGAAATTGCAGTGGATAAATAAATATTTCGCGATCTGGGTCAGTGTTACGGTCATCTTTTGTACGCTATTACGGATGGGTGTAAAGACTGTCCATTTCTATTGACTGATAATAATAATAATGAGATAGATAGTGACAGAAGATGGCGAATTACGAGTAATTAACTAATTTAATGAATTGGGTACTCGTGAGCCATTGCGATAATTGTAAGCGTGAAGTGAATTTAATGGGTAACTATGTGATTCTTTTTAAATAATAAAAAAAAAAATTTTCACTGTAACAAAACCCTATGAAGTACGAGGCGTTATTATTTTGAACAGCTTGTTTAGATGTTATTTCTTGCTACAAAACCATTTGAAAAATAGTAAATTTTTGGTGTCCGCTCTCTCATACTTAAAGATAATTTTGAAACAAAATTGATGTTCGCGTTGTTTTAATAAAAACAAAAACAAAGATAAAATTGAAAGATATCCGTAGTTTAGACAATTAAATTAAAAAGGATAGTACAGCTATTCCATTAAAAACAGCTTCCTATTCGTCGTCGAGCACAATCAATGTCAATGAAATAAAACCTCTATTACTTTAAGAAGTAGGTTTTATAATTTATTGAAAACCGTTGCGTTCGACGTCGACTAATATATTCAAATAATGCTGTATCATAACTTTTTTTCTTTTCTAGGTTACCATGCAAATTTAGTAGTTTTGTATTTATAAAACGAGGATCTGACAATATATCTTCTTATGTTTAATGCATAATGTTTTGACAGAATATCGGCTCACGGACAACAAGTGGTGTTATAAACCATGGCGTCTGTTAAGAGTTGTTCCTTGAGGTCATGGATTTTCTTAGTTAGAATCTTTGAGCGTGACAAACAAATAATTATAAATTGCATATCGACGACAAAGTGCCAATAACTCCCAAATGACTTTTTTAGATAAATTGAGTTTTTTAATGTTCTGTTTTAATATGTCTGTGAATTGAACGTTAAGTATATAAGTCAATTTGTCAAGAAATGACAGAACGGATTGGCTCGTCGCCGGTGATTGTCGTAACTAACCTTTTGTATCGTTTTCATTCCTTAGATTCATATCACTAATTTCATTCATATCGATAAACTTTTTAGTGTTTTCCATTTATATGCTTTACTTTCTTCATTCTATAACAATGGACCTTCAATTTTATATCTGTAACCATTAAAATTCTGTAATATAAACTTATCCAAACCTTTACGAACTTTTATCCTATGTTTTTGTCTACTTATAATAATGTGAACCCTTACCTGTACTTTTCATAGTTTTTCTTTATACATTTTACCAATTCTAATCATATTAAAACACTTATTTATGTATTATAACACAAATTATCGCTAATTTTAATTGTTTTGACAGAATTGACATCAAAGTTTTTCTTCGTTGCTATGGTTATATTTGATACTCTTCATGAAAATTGACTCATTGTTTGTCAGTTTTAGGCATTGAAACTCTGTAGTTTTTGAATTTTTAGGGTTCTAATTTGAAATCATTTACTTCTAAATTTGAGTTAGTCTTCAGGTATAAATAGCCTCGCTCAAATAGTTCTTAATCACTTCAACGGCAACAGTTGCCAAGTTAGCTTTTTGGAGCTCATACAGAGCTAGCTAAATTCTTAAAAGGCCTATTTCCCGGGGCCGACTGCCCCGGGAACTCTTCAAAGTTACGGTCTCAAAGTCGCATGACATCTTTCTGGCTTTAACTAGACGACAACAAATCAATACTCCACTATAACCTCCTACGCTACTTCACTCCTGGAGTCTGGCTGCGAGTAAACGCCTTAGGCCCGAGCTGCTGTTCAGTTCTGGGCTACCGAAGAATCCCCTGTTCGACGCATCGAGACTACGCTTCGCCGATTTACGCTCTCGGTTCTTGGCTGCCGAAGAATCTCCAGTACGACGCATCGAGACTACTCCTCACCGATTTACGCTCTCAGTTCTTGGCTGCCGAAGAATCTCCTGTTCGACGCATCGAGAGACTACGCCTCGCTAAATTTACGCTCGGGATCCAGACGCCCCTCAAGACTGCTGAAGTACCTCATCAACGGAACTTCACCGCTGACCCACGCCCCTTCACCTACAGACACTCTCACTCACACTTCTACACTTTTCACCTCACTAATCACCTCTCTCTTTTTATTTAATTTTTTTTGTCTTATGTAAATAAATTATTTAATTTGATTTAGCATCTTTTAGTTCTTTTTATATCTTGTTTCATAACATGATTTATACATCCTATTACTATTTATATTATAAACGTGAAAGTTTCTTTGTTTGGATGTTTAGATGTTTGGATGTTTGTACGTCAATCACGCCGAAACTACTGAACGGATTTTGATGAAATTTGGTATACAGATAGGGTGTTAGCTGACTTAGATAAAAGGATACTTTTTGCTGGCGAAAGCTAGTTTATAATAAGTACCTACGCTCATAATTTGATTTATTAAAAAGTAAACCCTCGTCATCACATATGTATATCGATACTGTTTTATTGTCTTTATGATTGTTCCGTTGTTTTATGTCAAATTATTTTAGATGTGCATTTTGCGAGTATATTGAGAAGTTAATATAAAAGAAGCATTTTTGTCAATAATCATAATATAAGTAAGTAAACATATAAAATTTTATGACAAAAGAAGCGATCTTTTAATATATATTTTTCGTTTTGTCATGTACGATGAACTAAGTACATAGATTAGTTCTGTATATGTCGGGCAAATTTAAAATTATTTTTGAAAATAAATACCATAATAAAATATATCTGGTAGCATTGCTAATAAGATTGGCGCTCAACCGAAACGTATTATCAGCGTCTCTATTTCAATTTTCATTTTTTTGTTACATTTTCTTTTTGGCTATTTTTGAATATATTTAATAATGCATCACCTCTGTGTGTGTAGTAATAATTATCATAACATAATTATAATTGTCTCTTATAATAAAACATGCGATCATGCCATGCGTGCGCAAGGTCAGTGTGAATCAAAGTGATTTAAATTAGCGGATAATTTATTTTTTGTGAAATAGACATTATTTAGTCATTTGTATCTCTTAGATCATTATTACCAATTCTATTTTACTACTCCTATTACTGACTTCTTTATTT